AAATAATTATTCCCCAGACCAAAACCCTCATTGAAAAGTCCATTTTGCTAAGTTAATTTTATCGCGGTCTCTTCATGGAGTACCCCCACTAAGTTACAAAGTTGGTCAATAAGTACTAAAAGAACAAAGTAAATTATCAGACTAAAATAGAATAAAATAAAATAGAATCTTTTGTTTTGTTATTTTATAGGCCTAACTGATTATATAACAAATGTAATAATAAAAATTCAATTACATCAAATATAAAATTATATAAAATAAATCTTTAAAAAAGCAACTAACAACGGTAAGTCAAGTAATTTCGGACTCTTTACAGGTCCCACGGTCACGGCTATCTGTCTGTGGTAATCATAAACTACTTACAAGTATGTCTAATATTACTGCAAACTGTTAAGTACTCGAAACATTGGTTTATTATAAATATAATTAAACAAATATACACGATTTAGATCCAAAAAAGTAGTTCGATTTTCAATTACTTTTATAAGATGTTGTAAATAAAAAAAGTCAATTTATAATTAGATACGCTATGCAAATCCTAACAATGTATTTTATTGAATATCGTAATGGTTTTATTACCATACCATTTTGTTCCTAATTATTGACACAAAGATGGAACAAACACAAAGTAAAATTCCTTTGGTCCGATTGAACTCGAATCAGTGTCTGTTGCCTCATCGTGCCTACCCTTCTTACCAACTGAGTTACAGATCTTTGTATAAGGTTTGAATGGTTTTTTTTACCATGGCGCCAACTGACTACTACACTGACTAACATGGAGAAACTTATAAAAGTTCCTTCATACAAAATATTTACATACTCATAAAATAAATTTAAAAAATTATTAAAACAGGATCATTTTCCATTAAAAAAAAAGTATCATAGTCACCTTTTATGTCAAGTGTGGCCACAGTGTAAGCGTATCATTATAACTTACGAGTGTGATTTCGGCAAGGAGAGCACTGAGTGTGCACTTCTTTGAGCCATAGTGAGGCTTACAAACTACACAGTGATCTTTTTATATTTTATGTAATAAGTTAATCAGTTAGTAGTATGCATCCAAGTTCCTTATTATTATTGTATTTCTATTTGTGAGGGCAGTAATAGGCCCTCAGTTGTTATTATTATTATTTAATTTAGTTTGAAGGTCGTGGCCTTTCTTTAAGGTTTTGAACTATTCTGCTCTATATTATCTTATAATTGTTTATGCCATAGATCCAGTTTATGCTCCACTATTGGATCAATACCATGTGATGGTATGAACAAGTCGTGCGCCTGGTGGTAAGCGACACGCCTATCCATAACAGTTACAGTAGTGTCACTCAGAGCTTTAAATCGCAAAGATCTGAGTGGCACTGCCACTGCGCCTGTCACCGTGAAACATAAATTGACAAGTCCCATGTGCTTGTACTTTCACCAGCACCCTTACTCTTTCAAACCGGAACGCAGTAAAGTAAAAAAATATACCCACTTGTACGTTAAGCGACTGATTTTAAATAAAACTCCTAACAAAAAATCTATGATGCCACATGGCTTAATCAATCCTAGTGTTACATATGCGTAAATGACATTGATAAATACGTTTCCCAAACAATATTCGAAACGAACGATCCAAATCCCCAAATTGATCCCCAGATGTTTATGTAAGTAACAAGCCCACAATGCAGGCCGATATAACATATACTGTCGTAATCACATTGTTGTTGAAAAAGGTGACATAATCGATCGATTAACCTGCATTAAGAATCATTATTGCGTTTCTAAGCTACTTTTTAGCATATTGTAGTTCTCTACACGAAATATCTTGAAGTTGTAGAAACTATAGAAGTCGATTTAACATATTTGAGTTCTTATTCAATGAAACAATGTTCATTAGTTTACACCGAAATAAAGAAAAGCATTATTATATATATTAGCATATAAGCAAATGCTTATAACTGATATAGTGCCTTTAAAAAAATCGTAACTTGAATATAGTATCACGCAAAAACATTCTAAATCTTACACTATTATGATTTAAATTGACTCTAAACCTTTTAGAATAAAAACTATTCACAATACAACCTGTAAATCTAAGAGTGCTCTTGCTTATAGATTACTCTAATCATTGCAGTTTCCAACGATTACAAAATCAAGATATATTTACGAAAAAAAATCATATATAATCAAAAATAATAATTTTGTGCCATATACCTAATTTAAACTAAAAATTATGTTTCCGCGATTGCTATCCATAGTAGCGATGCGCGACTTTCAATGTTACTAATATTAATCATTCGAGTGGACAAATCATTCCAATCCAAGCACAATCATTCGACTCGACTTGAATAATTCGAATAATTGCGAATGATTATTATGTCGGAACTACTCGGAACCATTCACCACGTTCATATTAAAATAGCCCTGTCCCCATCACGTTTACGGTTATCTATATTGTTAAAGCTGAAGGAAATGTAATTAGATTATTCTAAAAATGTACTTATTCCCAATTGTTTTTATTCACTTCAGGAATACTTAAATAATTAATTAGAATTTTATTTGTGTCACGATGGTTACCCCTTTTATTCTTTCAATTTTATTTAATCAATTTTCATAAATAATATGCGTAGCCATATTTACTTTAATTTCTTTTTATATGTATAATTTGCCTAATTTTATTGAATTTAATTATTTTGTAATGCAATTTAATTTTTAATTTAATATGGACCAATTTTATTTACTTTTGAATTTATAAATAAAATTAATTTTTAACATTGCAGCGCCCTTGCATGTTTCAAGTTTGATTCATAATAAAATTTTAATAACTACAAATGTACACATGATACGCAATAAAGAATTTGAATTTGAATTTGGTTCTTACCATATGTCAGAGAGAGCTAGGCAAAAATGCTCTATGGAATCTATAGATTAATATTGAATGGTCATTCAGGTCATTCGAATACGAAAATTAGTAGATTACTAATTTGTCAGTCGAATGACAGGATTAATAACACATAGTAAATAAAACTATTTATCTCCATCTACAACGCATATACATATTTGATTTTTCAAACAAACCAACGTTTCGGGTTCTTTACAGATGACGGATGGCTGTGATGGTGAAGTCATCAACCAGTTATGTAAAACCATTTTGTAGATACTACTGTTTGTAGCTATCTACAAAATTAATTAATATAAATGCCTTATTTTTTATTTACCCAAGGACATTCCAATTTACTCCACAAACGTCATGCCAAAATGTTACATTAATGTATGTTTTTTCAAAATTAAAGTTATTAAAGAAAAGGAAATGAGAAACAAAATAAAACATATTAGTGAGTCTACTTGAAATTTTTTGGTACGAAGAAACCATCTTCCCTGTTGAAATTAGGATGGTTTTCAATTTCATTGATCTCTCGTAGCATCCCAGGTGGAAAACGGACTTTCTTTTACAAGGATCTGTGGTTTGTCAAACTTAATAATTAAACGTGTAGGTTTATCTACGACATGTTCGCAGACTAACTTTTTTACGCGTCTATACCTGATGTCAGCTATTGTGCTTTGACCAATTTTGTGATTTGTATGGATTTTTTTACAATTCCCTACGAGGAACTGACATTTGTTACGCATGTAAAACTAGACATTATAATTGTTTACGTGGAATTATTATTTTTTTATGGCACCAAATGACGGAGACGAACAAGTCCCGCGCCTTTTAGTAAGCGACACACCTGTACATAGCAGTTGCAGTGTCATTCAGAGCTTCAAATTGCAAAGATCTAAGAGGCACTGCCACGGTGCCTGTCACCTTCAGACATAAGTTGACAAGTCCCTTAATTATACCTCTAACTTCACCAGCACCTTTACTCTTCAAAATCAGAATACAGTAACGGTCCAAAAATAGGTAAAGTAACACTACTTCACTGGACTAACTCTTTCGCAGGAACCTCTCCTGCTAAGCCAGTCACCATGGTTCGATTGTAACATCAATTTTTTTTGATAACGGAACATTTGAGCGTTCAAGCACTTCGTCAAATACGTCTGTTGATCAGATCAGATCAGTGTGCCAAAGACAGAATGGCATAGAGGGTGACGATGGAAATTTTCCTGAGTCCTAATCTACCGAACAAGAGTCGAAATGAGTCTTGAGGCCAGGAGCGGTTATTACATTACATCGGTTGTACATTCAAGTAAAAAAGTAGAAAAAAAGACTCCAATTTTTAGATATGTAAAGAACGGTGGATATTGATAAATTTATTTTCTTCATAAAAGTATGGAAAAATAATTGAAAACAACGTAATTTAAATAGATTTTCACTATTACGTAATTTTTTTTAACACATTTTTGCGATTTAAAGTTCTGATTGGCAATTCAACTGTTATGGACATGCGTGCAGCTTACCATAAGGCGCACGACTTGTCTGTTCTGTCAATTGTTATTATAGATTAAATATAACAAAAAAAGTGTAGGGTGAATAAACAAAATCAAATTTTTCAGTAAATTAGCTGTCTGATCGTTCATGTGTGCCGTGCGTCATCGGCGATGGTGTGCCCCATAGGCGGAGCAAGTCTTTTGTAAATTCCGCTGTCTAGCTACTTCTCTCATATTTTTCTATAAATAGGTCACATTCCCAAAAATTGGACCTGGAACCATTGGAATGGAACGCTTGTAAGAGGAAGTTTAGGTAATCAAGCACGTTCGCGCCATCGCCGCCCAACGCCCTGGGATCCAAGAACCGTAAGTTGAATTTAGAATATACTATAAACGAATATGTAACTTTACTGAATAATGTCATAATGACAGAATTTTGACTTTGTATCTATTTGATTATTCTAAAATAATTTTTCTTTGCATTTCGACACCTAATGCGATCGAGCTCTACTAAGTGATGTAACACTTCTCATCTGAAAACAATAGGCCCTGAAAAATAATGGCCTACGGTTGACATCATGCATAAGCACTTGAAATGGACACATAACCGTAGCGGCAAGTGCGCAGCCGTCACTCAATCAGTAGCTGCCAGACTCTCAGTCGTACATTGACAATAGTGATTAAAGTGATACACGGTCTTTTGTTCAGAAACTCAAGTGAAAGTTTTAAATTTTGTACGAATCCATTACAGGACACACACCGAAAGCGGTTAAATAATCAGCGTCACTCTACGTAGTTCCTAATTCTTAAATACCCAGTGATTCCTTTTTGTGATCAAACTCATTTGTATAAAAGTGAAGTGACCTCTATTCCTTTCAAACAATTTCAACTTTTGCTTTTTTTGCATTTATACCAAAATAACAAACACGGTTGCAGTATAATCAAAATAACAAAATGTTCAGAAATGTAAGTTGTGATGAAAAACGTGTTTCTTAGTATTCTTTAAAATAATACCGTTAAAACTTAACTTTAAATATTTTAAAAAATATGTTGCAGATTGTGATAACAATATTAGTAGTATCGGCGTGTTCCGGTGAATATCCGGCCCCTTATCACTCGATAGCAGTAAATACAGACCTATCATCGCCAGGATTCCAGAGAGATGATACACCATTATCGTTCCAATATAATACCGTACATTTATATTCCTCGCCCAGTCCAGATCATGATACACTAGACCGTCAACCACACCATTATAATTTTAATCCAACCAACTACATAAATATTCAATACGCCCCTCTTGTTAAATCATCGAGTAGATTGTATAATAAAGTACACAGTCCACATGATGTCAGCATCAGAAATTTCGATGAAATTAAAGAAGCTTTGAAGTCGCCGAACCGTCTCACTGCTCCTCCTACTACAACTACAGTAAAAACTGATCATTTGGAACCAAGATTTGTGGCAACTGGAGCACCAGTAACAAACAAAACAAAAGCAAAAGATCTGCAGCAACAACCATTGCCACATTTGGATTACATTCCTGGACACAATGTTGAAGTATTGCGATCTGTCAACCGTAGCCCAGGAACAAATGTTGTGTTCAAGAATCTTTCGGCTAGTCCTGCTGAATCTATTAACAATGTGCCTCAAAAAATGGTAATCACAAACTCCTACATTTACCTTACTTAAAACTAGTCATACGTGCTATTGCAATGACTTTGGCGCTCTGAAATTCATGATTTTCAGGATTTTATTTCGATGAATTTGTGTTGTGGCTTATCATAGGTCACATGATACATACTTTATCGAGACACACTTTCAAAAGTAATCCTTTTTAAAAGGTAGTTCCATGTTATTAATTAATTAGTAATATATTTATTTATATCTAAGGCATTAATTATATCTAAAGTAATTTTTCAAAACGTTGGGTGCCATTGAACTTTAAGAAATCTGTTTTTGTGTAGTAAAAAGCAAAACAGTTCGGTTTTTTCAGTTACACCTAAACAGTTTTTGAGCTTGTTTTAGTATACGCAATCATTTGCTAAAATTATAATAATTTGAAAATTAGGTATATTAGTGGAATTTGCGTCCAAGAATTCTCGACTCGTGATAAATAATATATGTTCTGTATGTACGAATCTCTGGAATTTGTTGTTAGCGTTGTGTTTACGTATGTAAAATCTAGAATCGATCTTTTTTTACTAGCTCTTTTTCTAAATCGGATTTTGGAATCATCCGTTTCTTGATTATGGTTGAGTATTTGTAAAATGCGTCAATTACAGACTAAACCCTTTTAATATACTTATCTCTTGGTCTGTGGACTTATATCTTTTATAGTATCTGCAAGTTCTTTCCATTTGTTATCTTGAGCACCTGTTTGTTACATTGTAGCAAGTATGGTGTCTTATATGAAATTTGTCATTTATTAAATCTAATCGTCATTAGTATAATCTGCCATTCACAGATATCATTTACTGTACATGCTCTTACAGAGATTCTTCAATAAATTTATTTTTTAGTCACGCATGAGTTCCTCAAAATCGCGCCTATCGGTAATCTATATTATCTACTTGAATATACTGGTATATAAATAAATAGATATAACGTAAAACTTACGTAGAATGTATTTGTGCCCCAAACATGTTTACCTTCTCTGAGATTCAGCTTTAAATGGCATTAAATTTTTTTTTACTTTACTATTAAAACGCGTGTTACAATTACTTATCTAAATTACAGACAAATAAAAAGAGTGGTGCTAGCCATGCTTGAGTTTGAATCTTTTTCAGTGGTATGCAAACGTTCTCACTTCAGTATTGCGTCTTTATTTCAGGTGAATGTCATAATACCTTACAAATTTAGCCATCTGTCGAACAAAAGACAACAACCGGAGATGAGTACTCAGAACGTTTATTTCTCTCTCGGTACTGCTGAACACAAGAATACCTCCAAAGTGACAACAACCAGCCCTCGTCCAATGACCACCACAATGATACTACCTCCACAACACAAACACTACAGTTACATATTCCCTAGAAATCATCAGCAATTGATTTTGCCAAAACCAAAACTGTAAGTATTACCATATTTATTATTTTGTTATAGGAAATGAAACTATTTTTCCAGATTAAAATCGCGTGTATTTGTTTTTTCAAACAAACCAACGTTTGGGTCCTTTACAGGTCCCATGGTCACGGTTACACTGAGGTGGTAAAGTTGCCAGTTATGCCTAATATTAATGCAAACCCCTTTATTTTTTCCACTATAGTTACAAAGGTTATTAATTAATACCTTATATTTTTATTTAAAAAAGAACATTCCAATTTACACTTCATATATTTGACAAATTATTTTATTTTAACAATATGAATTTTATTAACTTAAAATTATTATAATGATATAATAATAATAATAACGCATACACTCTACATAGCCCCGCACTAGGGAAAACCCTGTGTCGCGGGTGTCATGGACACACACATAGACAACCACAAATTACACGCAAACTCACTAGAGAAATAAATGTAGGCCATACAAATATTTTTCCCGGCCCGGGAATCGAACCTGGGGCCTCTGCCTGGCAGTCCGGCATGGTAACCGTTCGGCCACGGAGGCAGTTAACGATTAAGAATTAATAATTAATATTATATTGTTTATTAGATCTATACCAGTGTTTCGGCATTTGACACTTTTTTATTTATTTATTCTTATAATGACATTTTTGTAAACAGAGATAAGATTCTCCCAACCTTCATAAAACTATGTCGGGAGAATTTGGTTACATCAGTAGGACAATTTTTATTATTAAATTACTAGAATTGTGAAATGTTAAAGAATATTTCAGGTTACCACACTCGAATATTAAGTGATACTTCATGATGATATTCTACAAATATTTAAATAAAAAAACTTGTCACGAAAATTGAGTACAAAAAACTTACCTGAAAATTACCCATAAACATAATGTTACCACTGGGTAACTGTAACTGTACAGTCGTCAATATTTTCCCTACATAGTATCTAATATATCATAACTTTATAACATTTTGTAACTTTTTTATAACAAAAAACCGACCTCAAAAATTTATGAAATTACTTCTATTTACCAAGTTTTATGAAAATCGCTTCACGAAAAATAGGTGCAAAATAAACACGATTAATCCCCTAAATTGCCATACTTCGAGGTAGAACGTTTTCTTCAAATTTCAATGGAACAAGTACTGAGGTACTTACTCCTTTTAAAATAAAAAAAAAACTAATCCAAATCTGTTCACAAATGTCGAAGTAATCGCGTGACATACACACAAAAAAATACAGTCGAATTAAGAGTCTCCTTTTTTAAGTCGGTTAGAAAAAATTATATTACATTTTTAATACACTTTCTACTAACTTTTAAAACATTTGTTACTATACAACCGTTAAATAATGTAGGAACTGAATACTATTTAGTCCTTTTACCATACACGTTGTTTGTTTTAAGTTTCATTGATGTCCACTACTATGTTTATTATTACACAATTCTTGTATGTTATTATTACACAAAACTTGATGGACAATCAGTTCGCTAAAAAATTTACCTGCTTTAAATATAAGGTTCCTGTTGATTGGTGATTATTACTAGATAAAACGTATTAATTGTTGCCCTAAAACACCCATCTCAAAATAATACTGATTGCAGTATTTAGCCCTATTAATGTTGGTAATGACCGTTCATAATGTCTTTAAATGTATTTTGTGCATGTGAAATACTGTTCTGACGTTTCCAAACTATACAGGGTGAAAATACTCAACTACCTTAAATACATAAGATAGCTTATTTGACTTAAAGGAAATATTCTACTATTTTTCGTAATATGAATAACCGCTTTCACAAACTTTTTAAAATCTCACCTGATCCAGAAATCGAACCAACTAAAAATGCAAAAAAAACGACACTCACTGTTTTATTATTTTAATCCACAAGACCAATGATAAGGATAAAATATCTCCAATAAACATTAAGTCAATATAAGAAAAAAATATTTTCGTTAAGTAATATTAGCTATCTTAAGTAGTGTTGGATAGGACATGAAATCGAAATGAGTTTGAGTGTACTCCATTTGAATAATTCAAAAATTATGTAGAACAATGTCCTACATCAAATGGGGTGAGGTAGTGGCAAGAAATTGTTTGCCCCAACGGGAGCGGCTCTACAAACATAATATATATGTATAATACTAAGCAAATTTCATAACATCAATGAGTGCTCTCGAGTTGCGTAGACCATATCATAGTGTATGTACCACAGTAACGAGTTTCGTTGATCCGGGCGCTTGCCTTACTCAGTCCTTTGAGTTCTTTCATTAGTCGTTGTCATGTACTTCGCCAGAACCGCTTCAACGCTCTTTCTTTCCAATACTGTGTGACATGAGGTGAGACATTTGCATAAGGGGTGTTGACAAACTAACCAAGCGATAGTACAAAGGAGGTGGCTCATATATGAGTAGCAAAACACTAACCTTAAGCATTTCATTTCATTAAGACACATCCACTTGATGTCCCATTGATTTTCCATCCGGTATAGAAAGTACAATACGCTACCTAAACTAGACAATAACAGCCGAGAATTTATAATCTACCACTTTCTATTCAAAACACACCCATTATTAGAATTATAAGTACAATTATGTTTTTATTTATATAATACCAAGTGACGGAACGAACAAACGTGTGCCTGGTGGTAAACGACACGCCTGTTCATAATAGTTGCAATGCACTTCAGAGCTTTAAATCTGCCACTGCGCCCGTCATCCTGAGACATAAGTTGACAAGTCCCATGTGCCTGTAATTTCACCAGTACCCTTACCCTTCCAAACCGGTTCGCAGTCATGTTAACATAATTACTTAGCGGCAGAAATAGGTAAGGTGGCAGTACTTCCCTGGACGAACTCTTTCACAAGGACCTCTACAGCTACTAAAACATATCCTATTTGATTGGTTACAGATATAATGCTATGGATGTGAAAAAAGTGATGGCTGTAAAAAACGCGCCGACCGTTCTGAGTGCTGCACCACAACAAAAGTCATCCTATATGAAAATGCATACCCTTTTACTGAACGTTGCACGAGCCTATAACATGGCATTGGCTCCACAAAGAGTAGCTTTGCATTCTGGAGCCAACCCCGCGGTGTTAGGCATTCTTGAACCTAATACACAAATGTATGTGAGAGCTTCAAGATTATCCTCGATACCGCAGCGTAATCCATCGAATCAGAAAACAATTTTGTACCCAAAACAAAAAAAAATAAGATTCGCCATACATTCATAAAGAAGATTTTAGAAATTTAATTTATTTTCATTACTTTAATAATAGCCAAAGTTGTGACATTTTCTAAGTAAATGTTGTCGACATGGCTATTGCTTCCACGGTCTAGATCAAGTTTTATATAGGTAGTTGGTCCTTGTCGTTATATTGTTAGACAGATCAGTTTTTTAGTATTTACACTTAAGAAAATACCTACTCGTACATTATTTACAAAAAGTGTGGATGGTGTTTTATACAAAAATGCTTAAAAAAATAATTCAACCTTTTCACCTTATTATCAGCGAAAGAAAACTAGTAACTCGAGTATAAGTAACAACCCTTTTCTCAGAAATCGTCACAATTAGATACATTTTTACTATTCTCATATTTCAAATAAAATTGAAATGATACATTTTTTAAATTATTTCTTTATTTATAAAAATTTGGAATTTTGGACTACTATTGTAATAAATGTAAGTATAATAAAAATTATGTTGTAATCGTAATCATTAGTCCTATCAGTGAATGTGGACCAGCAACCAACGGCTAAACTCTACGACCTGTGGCAAGGCCGTTCGGTGCGCCAACTTGCTTGCAATCTTTACGTGCGAAGTCGATTAAGCAATTATAAAATATATAAACTTAAATCTATAACCATTATTCACTGTTGAAACATTACAAAGAAACAAAATGAAATGTATATATTAAAATTCACGCACTTTTGCCATCGGGGAAGACAAAAGCCACAATTTTCCATTAGCTACGATAATGACACACTTGCTTTCAAACCCGCTCGTCGATTAAAGTCACTATTGACCTGGCCTTTCTTTAGGACGTCCTCAACTTACATTCGCTTTATAAGTCAGCTTTGTCAATCTTCTTTGAGCCCGAATCACCAAAACGTCCCTTTTTTATCTTTATCACTATAACTTCTTCCACGCTGCAACGCTCTCTTGTCACACGGTTACGCAACTATCCATCACAGTCACGTCCATACTTCTCAAAGTTCTCATTTCCAAAATTTTTAAAAATACTTTATGAGATATGAAATTTAATTTCAGATCATCGCACCGCGCGCATTCATAAAAAAATAAGCTTAAAGAGATTAACATTCTTACACTAGCGAGACAGTACATTTATGAAAATGTAATTTATGTTAAGAAGAGTAGTAATTTTTTTTAAATAGTGACAGATTTTACATTAATACGAGGAATAAAAATAAACTAGCTGTTCTTGTTGTCTTCGGAAAGTCACAAATCAATTTAAGGGGCAATGTATCATCATCATCATAATCATCATCATACTAGCCGGAAGACGTCCACTGCTAAACAAAGGCCTCCCCCAAAGATTTCCAGACCAGCCAGTCGGACGCGACGTGCATCAATCGGTTACCCGCCGCTCTTACTGGGCCGTCGCAATGAATAAGCTCCTATAATAACATTCCGGTTGATATTCAAAATTTGCCATTTAAGAGGTTTATAGAGTATAATATCATTGGTTTAAAGTGAAACAAAAACTTTATACTAAAGCTTTATTATTCAGCTTCTGCGTACTTGGATGACAATAATCCTTGGTAGTGACCCGTTTAGCTCTTATATGTAGTCTCGATCTAAGATGTTTCAAATAAATATTGTAAATTACAAATGTATTCAAATATATAGTTACAAAAGAGCAACCCCTAGAGTTTCTAGCTCATTCTTCTTAGGGGAATTTGCCTTACGACTGAGCAGTACAGTTTAATCAATGTGACGATTTCAAGTGTATTCTGATTACATCTGAAATAAAGCTGATTTAAGTTTGAATTTGTTTGAGATGCTTCCGTTACCTATTAAACCCTCCCCCCCGTTGTCACTTCATCATGCTGTTCCCGTCGCTAAAACTTTCCCTAGCAATGAAGGAAACGTAAAATAACCCTTATAAACTACAACCATTGTTTAACTAACAAATATTATTAGATCTTGAGACCGAATTTATAAACATTAATTAAGACACAATAAACATCAGCTTTATGTTTAGTGGTACGCCGGTTATTGACTGAGAAGACAATTGGAATAGTTAATCAATCACAGGCAATGTTTGTGATACGTACTTACCCTAAATATGAATATACGTACTCCTTTGCGGATAGATATACCAGGTTATAAAATAACCGAGATTTCCAGAAGGAAGCGTGCGAAGGTCATAAAGGGTTCCTAGTCATCCCACGAGACTACATAGACATTTGCTTACATAAAACGTAAAAAATATTGTAATATAGGAGACGAAACTATTTTTCCGGATTTAAATCGCGTATATTTAGTTAGTTTTTTCAAACAAACCAACGTTTCGGGCTAAACAAAGCAACGTTCAGTCAACTATGACCATGGGACCTGTAAAGGTCCTGAAACGTTGGTTTGTTTGACAAAACAAATATACGCGATTTAAATCTGGAAAAATAGTTTCATTTCCTATGTGTAACAATCGCCAAAACTTAAGAACTCGATAAATATTGTAACAATTCCTGACAAATGCAGTATTTCACATACAATAAATTCATATAATAATTACTAACAAATGCAGTATTTTATATATATGCAAGTCATGTAATAGTTCCTATTGTTAGTAATTTTTCTACTTGTTTTTATTTAATATTTAAGTTATATTTCATAATTTTAGTGTTTACTATACTAGCACTTACGTGCCGTCTCATCTTATAAAAGCGATTCCAACTGAAAACCAGTGTTACAGCGGACGAGCTGTGTCATATGCTGAGTTGGATCCGTTTCAGCTTATAGGTATATGTAATCATCATTAATTTGTTTTGCCTGTTCTGTTTTATTTGAATCTTCTTAAGCTGAATAAACGTATCTTTCCTCCTTTCTTTCTTTAAAAACAAAGTACCAAAACGGTTACATCACGGTAGTGCCTAACATCAGCGTTTTGTATTCAAAGTTGGCCCCGTAGTAGTCAAAGCCACTCCCAACTACTACCATCACTAGGATATTTGTCGATTTTTACGTAACAAAATAATTGTTGACTAATTTTTTTTATTTATTAAATAATAGTAACATTTTTTTTATAATATCAAGTGACGGAACGAGCAAGTCGTGCGCCTGATTGTAAGCTACACGCCTGAACATAATAGGTGCAATGCCACTCAGAGTATTAAATCGCGAAGATCTGAGGGGCACTGCCACTGCGCCCGTCACCCTGAGATACAAGTTGACAAATTTCATGTGCCTGTAGTTTCACTAGCACCCTCACCCTTCAAAACCGGAACACAGTAATGCTGACATTACTGCTTGGCGGCAAAAATAGGTAAGGTGGCAGTACTTCCCTGGACGAACTCTTTTACAACGAGGTCTACTGCTACTAAACATAGAAAAATAATCGAGGAAATAGTTTTCTTAGAACTAAAAACAACAACATTTATTTTCAAAATACGAGTATCTTAGTCATTCCGTAAAACTTAATACACTTTTTGGTTAAAATTACATGTCACTGTTCATTTGTAAAAACACGAATTTCAATATTTGGTGACATGAGTGGTCCATTGGTTTTTACAGTGAGCGCTGGATAAGAAGGTGCCGGGTTCGATTCCCAGTAGGACCAAATTGGGAAAGGAACTTTCCAAATGATTCTGGTCTGGGTGTTCTAGGAAGTGCCCCAAAATGAATTTTTGTTCTCTAGTACCCATAATAAAGGTCTCCCTAATTTGAGACCAGGCAATTGGTGTGGTTGTCTGGATATTATACATACATATGCAACAGCAGTCAACTATAGGGATATAGATACGACTGAAACAATTAATTTTAAATCTTAATAACTTCAAACAAGAGTTATGAGGAACTACATGTTTTTTTTTAATTTATTTATCATTTAAAACATAATACACAACAATGTTTCTAGTCGCATTTTAAACCAATAAGGTTCGTAGTAATGCGAACTATATCCACACAATAGGTTCAATTTGCTAACAGAAAAGTTTTGCTAATATTTAAGTAATTTGCATAAATAGTCTATCATTAACCAAAAACATTATACAGAAATTGGATAAATACATTTATAAACAAACAAATTTATCGCAATTGATTAAGCTGTTTACAAAGTGATTTTGAAGTTAACTTCTTATATTAGTGGTTGTTAAAGAATTACATAATTCTAGCGGTAACTCGTTTATGCGTCGGGGAACAAGGTAGGTAGAAGTTATTTCGCCGTACACATTATTCGTGCGACTCGTCGCAAGCGGTTGCTGGCCACATGTCGCGTACACAAAGGACACACGAGTGTACATGAGTATATGAAAATATATACAATAAAAGTAATCCATAAAATTTCCACTGCACGAAATTCAACGAGCGTGCAGAAAAACGTCCATCCAAACCTTTTCGCTGTCCAACTACTGCGCTAGACTATAAAAACGACTAAAAAGACATAGAACCCACGATTGTAACAATCGTGATTAACAATAATTTTCAACAGAAAAATTACTTTTCATACCAAATTTAATCCATACATTTTCTTTTAGTCAATTCACTGAGATTGAAACGTAAAACACATTTTTATCTACATGATGCTGCAAAAAATCTGTGCCCTGTTATCGCAATACTTTTAAATGCTTAAGCATCAATTATGTAGATAAGTTACAAACACAAGTTCGCTCACCCCAACACTACTAAAAGTTTATCGAAATTAGAACAAAAATCTAAATAATATTTAATCTAAATTTAAAGATCTATAGATTTAGCAGCAGTAGAGCTACTTGTAAAAGAGTTCGTCCAGGTAAGTACTGACACCTTACCTATTTCTGCCGCCAAGCTGTAATGTTAGCATTACTGCGTTCCGATTTAGAAGGATAAGGGTGCTGGTGAAATTACAAGCACATGGGACTTATGACTTGTCAACTTATGTCTCAAGGTGACGGGCGCAGTGCCAGTGCCCCTCAGATCTTTGCGATTTAAAGCTCTGAGTGGCACTACAACTTTTATGGACAGACATGTAGCTTACCATCAGGCGCACGACTTGTTCTTCGCGTCACTTGATATTATAAAAAAACTACGAGTATACACCTAATTCTGCAATTTGACAACTTTTCCACGTATATTTTACGTGTAAAAATAAAACAGAACATTACACAATAACGAAGTACATAATCAAGTATGGAACTAGATAATTTTTTTTTGGAAAAAATCTTTAGAAAAGCACTATAAATGACGTTAAAAACCAAAAGCAAATCTGCAACAAGCACATAGAAAAAATTGTAAGGTCTGTTTGTTCGTTAGCTCAGTTGGGAGAGCGTCACACACGGTATGCTGAAGGCGCTGGTTCAAATTCAGCCGGATCCAAGGAATTTTTCTTAGTGTTCAATCAATGTATTAATTTAATTACTGACTTAATAGTTAAATTAAGTCTTAAGAATTTTGTTACCATCTAATGAAACTTAATATGAAACATCTGATGAAAGGCGACTTACCACTCACGCTCAAAAGAAAACTCATGGACGTGTGTATTCTACCCATCCTCATCTACAAACCTGGGTACTGACAGCATGGCAAAAGTTCAAACTTGGGGTCTGCCAACGAGCTATGGAGCGCAGCATCCTGGGAGTCAAATTGTCAGACCGAATTAGGAACAGTGGCGCTCCAAAACACGAATCGTAGATGTGGGCCAACAAGCCGGCAAACTAAAATGGGACTGGGCAGGTCACGTCTGCCATAAGTCAGACGAGTCGTGGGCGCAGGTCACCACAGAATGGACCCCCAAAAATAGAAAACGACCATGCAGCAGGCCAAAGCGTCGATGGAGAGACCAGCTAGACGCGCACCTAAAGGACTGGACCTAAGTGGCGCAAAACAAAGAGGTGTGTAGACAGGGGAGGGAGGCCTTTGCTCAGCAGTGGGACAGTATAGGCTCATAATAATAATAAATAAACTAATGAAACTTATTCGGGTATCTGATGCACTAAACTCTGAAAACTCATAAATGCGCCAAATATAAACTCACAATACAAGTACAACGAAAACAAATTTGAAAGCACTGCTCTGAAAAACCAAACCAGAACCAGTTTATAAATAATCTCATCGCTAACTGGAAAGGAGTCCGGATATTGGCTGCAGGCAATAACTAAGTGCAAGAACAATCTATCCCAAGTGATGCTGTTGAAGAGTTTGGTCACCACTGCCTATCCTACGAATCCTATCCTTAAAATCGCAAAACTATTTTAGTATGGACGAAATACATTACACTTGATTTGCAATTCACAAGCTACAAGAGCGTAAGTTGGAATTGTTTACGTTATAAATGTTAGTATCTAAATAGAACTATGCATGGAAGTAGTGTGGTAGGTATAATCTAAAAACAGTCACAACACACTAGAAAATAGTAAAATCGTTCGGACCTGTTGCTTTAAAGGTTATTGTAAATAAAAGATTTCAAATCAAATTAAGAAATCTGTTTTTAACAAAAATCATCCACGTGATATCGATAAAATTTTTATCCCTGTACAATTTATCTTCAACATAACCAAAATATGCAAATAAAATAACTGGGCGCGATGTTCGAGTCCAGTTTTTATCTTATTAATAGTAATATTTTTATTCATAGTTGTTTTTTCTTTTTTTTTTAAATTTTTTCATTGTAAATTAAGAATAGGAAAACACTGTCTTCCAGGTTGAGATATGGAAGAAACATGTTTTTGTATTAGCAAATAAACTATAAATAATGTGTATCGCATTAAAGCTTAGAACAGGCACACTGATATGTGGAGTATGGTGTGACTTAGCAAGGTCACCCAAAGCTCGCTTGACAGCTACCACTGCTTGTATGACGTATTGGTAATCAACGGGTATATAAAATAGAAATGTGGTACGTAGTTATCATTAATTTATAGATCACATGACAAACAACATGTTCTCCAAAGTGAGTTGACAAATAATAATTTTACTCTTAGTGCGTGCGCTGTGTGTAACAGAAGTTGGTTACGTGTTGAATTTCTATAACGAGTGTGATTCAATTTCAGTTCATAGCTCTGTGCGCATTGGTGGCGGTGTCCCAGGCGGGTCTCGTACCCGTGTCGCAATATTCCTCGGCCGCGGCTGTGTCTTCCCAGAGCATTGTGCGCCACGACCAGCCCAAACTCGTGGCCTCAGCTCCCGTTGCCTACCACGCCGCTCCTGTTGCCTACCAAGCCGCTCCCGTTGCCTACCATGCTGCACCTGTAGCTAAGGTCATTGCTCACCAAGCTGAAGAAATTGTAAGAAATCTCAGATGTGGAACCAATATTTTTTAGAACATAAATTCAGTAGCAGTAGAGCTCCTTGTGAAAGAGTTCGTCCAGGGTAGTACGGTAGCAACCTTACCTATTTCTGCCGCCAAACAGTAATGACAGCATAATTGTGTTCCGGTTTTGAAGGATAGGGGAGCTGGTAAAATTACAGGCACATCAGGCTTGTGACGGGCGCAGTGGCAGTGCCCCTCAGATCTTTGCTATTTAAAGCTTTGAGTGCACTGCAACTGTTATGGACATGCGTGTAGCTCTTTAACACGTGCACGACTTGTTCGCTCCGTCACTTGATATTATAAGAAAAAACAATAAATAAACTAATTTATTTACATTGTTTTAAGGCCTATCCCAAGTACGAGTACACTTACTCAGTTGCTGACAGCCACACCGGCGACCAGAAATCTCAGCAAGAAGTGCGAGACGGTGACACGGTGAAGGGCTCCTACTCTTTCCACGAAGCTGATGGCTCCATTAGGACCGTCGAGTATACCGCCGATGATCACAATGGCTTCAACGCAGTGGTGCACAACACCGCTCCCACCGCTTCCCCCGTCGTGGTCAAGGCCGCCGCTCCCGTGCTCTCTTACTACCACCACTAAGCAAAAAACATATATGTAAAATAGACGCAATAACGACTGTTAGCTATTTATTTATTGTAATAAAACAAATAAGTTTGAACAGAATACGGCATATTTTTTCACCTCAGTCCCAAGCATCGCACTAAAAAAGAAAAACTGTCTCATATGACTTTTTATTTTCTGTGAAAGCGAGTTAAGAATTCGACGATCAGTTTTGAATTGAATAACCGCTTGCGCACATGTTCATAGTCTACAATAGTAACTAAATTCCTATTGCCGGTAAATCCTAATCGAAATGTCACCTTTGACTTAACATATTAAGGTCAATCTAAGTCAATCTAGATCCTACGAACTATTTGCTTCTTGACGGGACGACTAAGTCGTGGTGGCGTGGTGGTAAGCTACACGCCTGTCTGTAACAGTTGCAGAGCCACTCAGAGCTTTAAATCGCAAAGATTTGAGGGGCACTACCACTGCACCCGTCACCCTGAGACATAAGTTGACAAATCCCATGTAATGTAATTTTTGTCACTATGTCTCATAACTGATATATTATATTTAAATGTTCGTAAAGCTCGACTTACCGTAGACACATCTATAATATTTTAATGAGGGCAAATTAAAACTGAACTTCAACATTTCACCTATACAACTGAAATGCATGATCTTTTGATATAAAAAGTATACATCCATACATATTCATCCGTTCTTTCTCAAAAGTTCCACAAGAGGCACGCTCGACAGCCCTAATACAGGAGGAGTATTAGTGTCAATTGGGTACAATTTTTTGGGTACAAATCATAAAAGACAAACGATTTGTTACACCTGTTAAAGTACCTTTATGCTGTTGAAATGGAACTGAGGGCAGCATAAAATTGTACTCAATTGGCGCTAATATTGTTGCATTAGGGCTGCCGAGCGCATATGCGGGTAACTAAATATAATATAAGGATGGTCAAAAAGTCCGTCCAGTATTAAACTATAAATGAGAAACTTAAAATAATGGAACTTTAATCTATTTTATATTGATCATGTTGATATACAATAGTCTGCCATCTTTCGAGTATTTTTTTAAAATTCCCCTGTTCTAAAAAAAACCCTGTATTTACTTATAAAATACAGTTCAAAGTGTCGTTTTATGGTCTCTTTGTTATCAAAGCCTTGTCCATTTAAGAATTTTGTAAGGACCGAAACAAGTAGCAAATCCCAACCTAATTGCAATAGTTTTTGACGGCTTTGTAAAATTGTGTGGTTTGGGATTATCATGACGAAATAAGAGCCCTGTGCGATTCATCTGTCTGACTTTCCCGTCTATACTTAAAATGGCAGGCAACATAAAATTTTTAAAGAAAAAAACTATGTTGCCTATTGTTTAGTACTTTTTTTTTCAAACTTACCTAATGGCTAAAACTCGCACGAACAACCCATTACAACACAACATGTGCTACACTACGTAGATAAATAAACAACAACCAATTTGCACAAATTTGTACACTTAGCCACAGGTTAATATATGTAAACTGTCACTTCATTTAAATGCAAATATAAATGCCATGCAAATAACTTAACGTACAAAGTTCCACAAATAATTTTGCTGATTATATATATTTAGATGTGACCTATCATCGTACCCGTTTTGCGACCATGCGGTCTTATACATATAGATGCTTGAAAATGCTTCAGTTAAACTAAACAGCCGAAGTATTGATGACAAAACTGTATGATACTTAAAATACCTCATTATTATATCACTAACCAGCAAACAAAACGGTTTATAAACAATACACGATGCTATTGTTCACTTTAAGTAACATTTTCATACTTACAAAGCGATATTCTTTGTTGTATTATTATTAGGATTAAAACGTAACGGAAGGCGGCACTAATACGACACTACGGCCCATTCACATTGAGATCATAAAACATAATATCAAAGTCGGTGTGATCACCGCTCTGGGTCGTTCATTGGTTCAGCAAGATTCCATCGCCGTACAGCATTGACGAAATCTCTTGTAAATGCTAGTTTTGTGTTGTCGTACCTATGGACGTAGCCTGGTGCTGATCTTTAATTTGTAAATTTATGATCTTCTTTTAGTAAGAAAATGAATAAAATCATAATCAAAACGCAGGGGATATGAAAGTCATATTATAAATCAATTTCTTCATTCTGATAATAAAAATACGTGAATGGTCAACAATGAACAACAAGTCCTAATAGAAATAAGAAGTTGCCAATGAACTACAATTTAAGTAAACTGATAAAATTTTCCATTCACATTCCCATTTCACAAATTGGTAATGGTAAAAAAAAGGTAATTTGTATTTTTTTTTATTACATCAAGTGATGGGACGTACAAGTTGTGTGCCTGTTGATAAGCTACACACCTTGCCATAACAGTTACAGTGTCACTCAGAGCTTTAAATTGCAAAGATCTGAGAGGCACTACCACTGCGCCCGTCACCCTAAGACATAAGTTGACAAGTCCCATGTGCCTGTAATTTCACCAGCACCCTTACTCTTCAAAACCGGAACACAGTAATGTTGACATTACTGCTTGTTGGCAGAAATAGGTAAGGTGGCAGTATACTACCCTGGACGAACTCTTTCAGATCTCTACTGCTGCTAAATCTACTATCACTGGGTACCTTCATATTCATTTTTGTTCATGTTCATATCAGTGCACGGGAAAATCAATATAGCTACTAGCAATAAAACTTGCAAGAGACAGTAGCCACTGTGGTGATAAACCACTGAAATTGTTCTGCCCTTCTTATCATAATTAACATAATCCATAAGTTTAGCGAAATCCAGTAATTAACATATCTGGAATCAGCGAAACTAGATCTACAACCCCCTATAAGCGGTTTTGTTTTTAAATATCTTTTTTAATTTTTTTTTTTTTTCATTTTATTGTTAAGCAAAGTCAGCGTAATTGATATTTTTCAAAGAAAAAAAATTAGGTGCCAATATCTCGAAAGTTACCAAAATGTAAATGCGGAGATGTGACAAGGAGGGCAGTATTGTAATTCAGCGGTATTATCAAAATACATCCTTTAACTTTTGTATTTGACATTTTAGAGTACTATGCCTGTTTCCATTGTCAAAATATAGGTAATGTTACTAACAATTCCAAGTGGAAAGGGCACAAAAAAAACGTTATCGTATTTAAATTCGAACTTATTCGTATATTGCAATTAATAAATAGGTAATAGTAGTTTGTGTTATCTGCTGAACAATTTAATGCTGCGCTTAGTGGTGGTAGTAAGAGAGTACGGGAGCGGCGGCCTTGACCACTACAGGGGCGGCCTTGACGACAGGAGCAGTGTTGTGCACTACTGCGTTGAAACCATTGTGGTCGTCGGCGGTATACTCTACGGTCCTAATGGAGCCATCAGCCTCGTGGAAAGAGTAGGAACCCTTCACGACATCACCATCGCGTACCTCCTGCTGAGATTTAGGATAGGCCTGTAACAACGACACAAACAAATTAATATATCATCAAATGTAAACTTGTAGCACTGTTTGTGTTCTAGATTTGTGGTTACTTACGATCTCTTCAGCATGTTGAGCGATGACCTTAGCAACAGGAGCGGCGTGGTAGGCAACAGGAGCGGCAACGGCCACTTTAGCTACTGGAGTAGCGTGGTAAGTGACGGCAGCGGGAGCAGCTTGGTAGGCAACGGGAGCGGCGTGGTAGGCAACGGGAGCGGCGTGGTAGGCTACGGGAGCGGAAGCCACGAGCTTGGGCTGGTCGTGGCGCACAATGTTCTGCGAGGATACAGCCGCGGCTGAAGAGTATTGTTGCACTGGCAGGAGACCCGCCTGGGACACCGCCACAAACGCGCACAGAACTACGAACTGAAATTGAATGACACAGTTAAACAAATTGTCACTACACACCGAAGTTCAATCACAGTCTATGCACACACTATAAGACTCAAATTATTAACTCACTTTGGAGAACATATTGCTTGCTACGTGATCTAGAACTTAATGATGACAATGTGCCAATGTTCTACTTTTTATACCCGGTGAATGCCAGTGTGCCATTCAAGAAGTTGTAGCAGTCAAGCAAGCTTGGACGACCTTCCTTCAGATCAATTTTGCATTTCAGTGCGCTCATTCCAAAATTTCTTGTTAATCATCTACGTAACCTTTTCTGAGAAGGAACAATTAACTCGAATTCCTAATACAATGTAAATTTACAATATCTAATTAAACACAAAGTTCTTAACAAAGTTTATTATTAAAAATAACACATAACCTATTTGGTCAGATATTCCGCTCCAATTGGTTGTTGAATGTAGTATGGTGTCTTCTACCACAGAACAATTGACGATCTTAAGGTGAATGAAAAAAAAAATCTTGCTCTGATTGAACACAATACTCTTGATTTTTTATAGACTTGTATTATACTTATCATTTCAATTCGATTTTTTATTTATTTTTTATTTTAAGTGATAGGGCGAACAAGTCGTGTGCCTGGTGGTAAGCAATACACCTGTCCATAGCAGTTGCAGAGCAACTTAGAACTTTAAATCGAAAAGAACTGAGAGGCACGGCCACTGCTCCCCTCATCCTGAGAGATAAGCTGACAAGTGACATGTGCATGCAATTTCACCAGTACCCGTACCCTTGAAAACCGAAACGCAGTAATGCTCACATTACCGCTTGGCTACAGAAATAGGTAAGGTGTTTGTTGGTAGGTCAATGGTAAAGTGGCAGTACTTCTCTGGACGAATTCTTTCACAAGGAGCTCTACTGCTGCACTAAAACTTGCTACTAAAAAAGTATGCGTTATTATTTTTAAATATTAACAATTTTCAACTCCTAGGTCATGCAAGTCCGTGGTATTTTATTTATTTAATTTTAAGCTTCTTTCAACGACAACTTTCCTCTGTGGGCTAACTGTTTACATTGTGGGCGCTAGATGCGGAAGTCCCGGGTTGGATTGGATGGAATTCCATTGCTCAGATTCTCATTGTACAGGGAATTCCCTAGTTCGAGACCAGGTAATTGGTGTAGATGTCTAATAAAAATAAACACAACCCCTAGTTGCAAAGCCAGATTTGTTTTATTATTAAAAGATAAAGGCCACTTGTGTACAATTTTACGTGTTGAAAGTTGAAATGAAAAAAATAAGCCTAAATCACATTCTTAACTCTAAGCTGTTAATTCTAAACTCTAAATAACTGTTCGCGTAAAGTAAGCAAAAAATTAGTAAAAAGTAAGAAAAAAAGTCCAATTAGCAAGGTGCTCATGTTATACCAAATTTATTCATTAGTATCAAAGTATATAATTGACAAAATGCTACCTACAAAAAACCGATAGGCAAGCTACTAAAGGATTATAATAAAGGTGATCATTACTGGCTGGAAGACGCGGTGGCATCTCAAATGATAACTGGTACACTGATAATGATTGGGAGAAGCTGGGACCATACGTAGCGGTGATAAAATATATTCCTATATACCGCAATAGATAGATATGAACGACAATAGACATCTTCAGAATGATGACGTCATTATATCATGACCACGGCCATAGTAACCCCACTGAAACGTATACTTAAGAGATAAGAATAAAAATTTTAAAAACAGAGTGTGTGTGTGTGTGTGTGTGTGTGTGTGTGTGTGTGTGTGTGTGTGCGTGTGTGATTGAAATTCCCTGCCTGTAGATTTGTTCCCCAAACGCCGTAGTAACTTGAGTCTTTTCAAGGCGTGAGTGAATAGGCATTATATAGGTCCATCATCGACCTTATAGTCACTTTCTATCAGTTGTGATGAAGGTCAGACGCGCCCTTATATCATCTTAATAAACGTTTTAAGCAAAAGTACAAAATACTTAATATAAACAATATTTATAATTCGCCAAGGCCATAAATCATATTCGTAACCGACGTCTTCTTGCATACCGTACCAGACGCTATACCAACTAAGCCATGGAACGAACCAACGGACCTCACGAATTTTCCTATGTGCTTGCGTCGTGTCTTTGTATTTGGTTTTTCAACGACTTTTTAGTCGTAGTGCCATCTATGAGAAATCCTTGAAAGATTTATCACCCAGTTAGTACCTTTACAGCTACCAGTCCTGGCGAGAGATGTCGCTATTCACTGTGTTAATTAAATTTTTATTGAATTGATATTAATTTTCTTTGTGAAATTACTCCACTAGTTTGTTATAATTATTAATACTAAGATCGAACACTCAAAAAAAAAATATTTGTACAAATATATCATTCACAATATTTATTTCAAATATCGTAGATAGAAATAATCTGAAACAACTAAATGTAACCACAGCATTTTTGTGTAATTCCTTTAGTATAAACATTTTTTTTTTCACTATAATTTTAAATCATGTAAACGGCAAATTCTGCGGCGGAAAATCCTTAAATGCACTTGTAACTTTGTAAAGATGACTGCCAATAACCGCCATTTTTTTCCCTCGTATTAAACTCACGCCATCACTATTTTTATAAAAATTATATTTAGTGACACTGGTGTAAATATATTTATTTTGTTTAAGCTTAAATCTCACAGCTTAAAAGCCGTCTTCCGCTTTCACATTGTATTATTTTGCCTAACAATTTTTTCTAACATCACTGTGATTTTTATAATATATTATTTATAAAAATCATTATATTTGTTTCTTATCTATAGTAATTCAAAATTATGCGTCGTAAAAATTTATTTAGCTTGTTTAACCCTTTTAATTTTGGATGTCTTTTCAAAACTACTATGTAGTGAAGCAAAAATTTTATCGAAGGCAAAATTTTATGATTAACTCGGTATCATAGCTTGAAAGCAGAATATTAAAACCGGCTATTAACATTTGAACTTATTCGTTTATTTCAATAAATAGATCACAGTATCAAACTGACTAGTTGAATTTCAGATTTAGTGATGGTAGTAGACGGGAGCGGCGGCCTTGACGACGACTGGAGCCGCCCTAGGAGCTGTGTTGTGTACAACCGCGTTGAAACCGTTGTGGTCGTCAGCAGTGTACTCAACGGTTCTGATGGAGCCATCAGCCTCGTGGAATGAGTAAGAGCCCTTCACGGCATCACCGTCACGAACTTCCTGCTGGGACTTCTGGTCACCGGTATGACCGTCGGAAATGGAGTAACTGTACTCGTACTTGGGGTAGGCCTACAAGATAGGACAATGATTTTTATCATTTATTAATAATACTTGAAGAATTATAATCTATTTAGTGGTGCTACATCTGTGATTACTCACGATCTCTTCGGCTTGGTGAGCCACAACCTTAGCTACAGGGGCAGCATGGTACGCAACAGGGGCAGGAGCAGCGTGGTACGCAACGGGAGCGGGGGCAGCATGATAGGTCACGGCGGCTGGGGCGGCGTGGTAGGCAACAGGAGCGGCGACAGCCAGTTTGGCAACGGGTGCAGCTGCCAAGAACTTGGGCTGGTCATGGCGCACGATACTCTGAGAGGACACGGCCGCAGCGGAGGAGTAGTGTGGCTCGGGCAGGAGACCTGCCTGGGAGAGTGCCACCAAAGCACACAGAACTACGAACTGAAAAATGGTAAAGTTTTTAACGAAGTTCTTCATGAGTTGCTTTATAGTTTTGCCATGAGTGCCTATTCAATCTTACTTTAAAAAACATGTTGGCTGTTGTTGCTAGATGTGTGATCAGTGAATGGTTGCAAATATTTCAGCGAATCTAGTTTTATACCCGTAAGCCAGTAAGGCTGAATTGTAGTAGTGGCAGCTGCCAAACTAGCTTATGACACGACCTTCTGACGCAGGTCAAACATTCGCTACTGATCTATTCACAAGTGCCCACCAAATGCCATCGTGATTCACTCCCACACGTTTTGAGAATATATCATTGCATTATGATTTCAAAATTTATAAATGATCGTGGGCACGCCTACACATTGCATCTCAGTGCTTTATTACACGATTTACATCCTTGTTGAAGTTGTATATTGTCGAACTGAGCAATTGCAATTAACAGGGGTACTTCAAAGGCAGTAGTTATTATTTACAAAAAAACTTATTTATGAGATAGGAAATGAAACTGTTTTTCTGGATTTAAGGAAAAAAAGAAAAATTTTAGGAAATAACGTATATTTGTTTTTCAAACGAACTAACCTTTCGGGCCCTCTACATGTGTCATGGTCGCGGTAGACGGTTGTCTGGCCATGAGACCTGTATAGGGTCCGAAACGTTGGTTTATTTAAAAAAATAAATATACGCGATCCGGAAAAATAGTTTCATTTCCTATGTGTAACAATCGCCAAAACCCAAGAACTCGTTATTTATGAAATGTTAACCCTAAAATGTTTCGAGTTTTAATTGTCAGAAGCACTCATCAATGTAAAGGGATCGTAAAACTGAGAGTTAAAATTTGAAAAAAAAAATTGATTATTGCACCATATCTTAGCCAGTTTTTAATACCTACAAATCGAGACTAAGATCTTTATTACAAAATAGTCATCGGGTGCATTGAATAGCGCCGATTCCGTGGCCGATAACACGCGACAGAATCCACTCTCTTTTGTGAAATTTCTATACACGGAATCGGGTTGGAGCTATGAGTAGAGTGGGCTATGTCGGAAATGGCACGAAACCTTCATAGATTTTAACTTTAGAAGTTAGGCATTTAACAACTAGTTATCCCTTTGAAGTCGCTTTTATCAAGTATAAGAAAACAATACGCATTATAAAACTATTATCAAGTAAAAAAACTAGTGCTTTGATTTTAACCTAAATGAAATGTGATATTATTGGTTGAGATCTTTGAAAAACACTCTCAAACACATTGATACAACTAAACGGAAAATGTAATTTATTTAAAACAACAGTGATCAATTTTGGCCCGCTTTACTCTCTACCGATTCACGAAAACTGAACTCAATACCTCCTTTGATTTGTTAAATTGTGATGATACGATAAATTACTTAAGAACTTTAAAATAGTCATAGTATGGATAAGTTTTTATAGTTATTACTGGATATTTATAATATGGAAATTTATTACATCCAATTTAACATTTCAGATTCGCTTTTTGGTTTTCTATTTCAATTTAACCTAGCATTACACTGGACTAACAAAGTAATCTGGCGTTCAAATCATGTGATCGGTTTTGAAGCTCATGACCCATTTTAAAGCCAATTACATACCAAACCGGACTCGAGAAGTTTCATCGAGTTTCATCAACCAACGTTGTTTCGTTATATCACATATTCACATCCTCCGTTTGGACAAATCACTGAAATACTATTGGTTCCTGAAGGACAGCTCTTCACCGCTTCGCTTTGGTAAGTTATGTGTTATAGAGAGCTTAAAGAGCAATGAAATACGATTACAGTTACAAAATTGTTTTACTAAACATATTCTTAAGTGAGAAACGAAAACGTAAAATATTACACGCACGCACGCATGTACACACACACCCGCATGTACACACGCCCGCATGTACACACGCACGTATAGGCACACGCACGTACACGCAACTTACATATCTCCAACTGCCATATTTTAGAGTATCTTTAACTTTTTACTTAATTTCTTAATTCTTTATAATAATTAATATCTGTTGTATTGCATGTAAAATGTTAACATTTTGTAGCAGTTATAACTTCACTTCACCACAGTGTTTTTGTTTTTGCATTGTTTCTAGTTTTTTCGCAAAGGGAGACCTGGTGTCTTAAATCCTGGTGTCTTAAAATTGTACCTAGCTTGAACACCAGTCTTCGACAATTAAATTGTTATATTTTACGTTGTTCTTAGATTTAAGTTTCACTGTGGAAGAAAATAAATATTTTATAGTTATTATTTTGGATATCTATTTTATGCTCTCGCCTCTCCCATGACCTAAAAGATAATTTTTGAATTATGAAATAGGAGAGGCGGTATTCCCCGACATTGGCCACAAACGGCCGGGGTCATGGACCAGGACTCAGGACTTATTATAAATAGTGACTAATACTTATTATTATTATTACTAAAATAAATTGTAGTAGGTGCACAAATAATGGAATTATCTTTTTTTTGTTTTAATTAATGTTCGTCAAATATTGGTCTTATCCTCTCTTTTCTAATAGTAATAAAAGCAAACTTTAGTAACAAAGTTTTCAACAAATTTATATAATAGGTATCAGACATCAAAAAGGTATAAAACTGTAGATAAGGTCTCTAATAATCAACAGTTCACTATCAAAATCCGTTTACAACGGTACTTCCTAAGAGCTTCAAAATGTTTGAAAAGGTGCGTGTCTAATTGTGAAAATGAATTATTTTAAAAATAATCCCGTACTTAATTATTTGTAAATTATGATAAAACCTTGAGCAACTTTTAAGTTTCCTATTCGGTTGGTATTAGATATTACTACATGTGTATTAATCGTGAAACAGTGATAACCATGTCTTAGCCGTTACGGATTTGCTCCGCGAATAAATCTACGTGATTATAATTTGTGAAAGTGCAGGAAAATACCCTGGTCACAAACAGAGTGCAAATGTTAGAGATAGAGACGAGTGAATGTCACAACGCAGAATGGAGAATGGCGGTTGATTATATTAACCATTAGTGTTTTTGTAGAGTCGTAATTACAAAAAATCTTTAAATAAGTCGTATGGTGCCACATGGTACACCAGGTACACTGAAATCCACAAACACCTGGAAATTCCAACGATTTTAGAAAAGATGGACATATAACTGTCTCCGTGGCCGAACGGTTACCAAACTGGACCGTCACGCAAGAAGTCCCAGGTTCGATTCCCGTGCCGGGAGAAATATTTGTATGGCCGATATTTATTTTTCTCTTGACTTTGGGTGTAATTTGTGGTTGTCTAAGTGTGTGTCCATGGCACCCGCGATACAGGGTTTCCCTAGTGCGGGGCGATGAGTGTGTGCGCGTTATTTATATACCAATTTCTGCCGCCAAGCGGTAATGTGAGCATTACAGCGTTCCGGTTTTAAAGGGTTAAGGGTGCTGGTAAAATTACAGGCACAGTGGATTTGTCAACCTATGCCTCAGGGAGACGGGCACAGTGGCAGTGCCCCTCAGATCTTCGTGGTTTAAAGCTCTGAGTGGCACTACAACTGTTATAGATAGGCGTGTCGCTTACCACCGGAACCACGACTTGTTCGCCCCGTCACTTGGTATTATAAAAGAAACCTTCGCTAAAGCACTGGTTGATAATGGCAACATCAGAAGACTAAAACGAATGCATGTGTTCAACGACTAAGAGATGCTAAATTTCGCTGTGAAACGTCAAACATCACTTAAAATATTTACGTATAGTCTGGCAACTTACTGAAGATATTTAAAAATCATATATATTGTACTCTACTATATGAATTAATTGTAGAGTTATTTTTAGATATTTTCGTAACGTTTTATTGCCGCCTACTTAACATGTAACCAGCAATATCGAGGTTCCTCACTATGTAACACGATTTTTGTTTCTGGGTTATGAATATCATTTTCTAATTGGTTTTATCATAAAATGAAATGAAATACCACCACGGGTAACAATTTTTTTATAAATTTTTGGTTCGTCTATCATTTTTGCACTCCAGAACAGCACAACTAGGCACTTTTCAAGGATTTTAGAGTATTTGCACGAAAGAATGACACAACCATACCATACAAAGCGAAAATGGCGGACTGAGCTCTGATAGATCTCTTGAGACCTATACTTGGCACGCGTCAGACGCTAACTAACCACTTCGACGGTATTTATTCTTCTGTGGTTACAGTATTTATAAAAAACTCATTTTGCGGTTGTTTCAGATTGTGTTATGCATTTACTTTATGGGCACGGTGCATTCTGTCTTCGTAGACACTGGGTATAGTAAACATGGTTTCAGCAATGACGGTGCTAAAGCCTGGCAGGTAGTCAAGGTATATCATGCTCCACCAAACTCCCAAATGTGGCACAAATACGATTCATTTCCTCATGTAAGTATTCTTTTGGGGCTTTTATTTCTCACTGCATGTAATTTAATGACTTTCTTGAAATTCACGTTTTTTCATCAACATCACCATCAGTCCATTTATACATCCCACTGCTAGACACGGTCTCTTCTCAGGCTAGGGTAGACGTGGTTGCCTAATTGTATGACCTACCGCCTCTCTAACAGAGGCCGTGTGTTTGAATCCGTGCTCGTAACCTCTGTGTCTCTCGGAATTTATGTGCGAAATTGAATTTTAAATTTATCATGAGCTTTTCGGTGAAAAAAAAACATCTCTGATGAAACCTGCATGTCGAAGAAGGGTCAAAAACTTTCAGAAAATGTGGGAAGTCCCCAACCCACATTGGGCCAACGTGGTGGGCTATGGCCTTAAACCCTCGCGTGAGAGAAGATCCTTGCATTTTATTTTAAAATTAATTGCTATGCAAATTACTATAATTCACATCATAAAACACTTTATTGACAACTTTCAGTAAATCCCATGAAACTATTTGCTTTTGTTTAAATAATCAGAATGGTATTATATTCATAAATACATATAAAACATATTTTGAAATTAAACTAAACTAGTTACTAAACTGACCATTAAACGCATATTAAACGTCAAAACTAATACGTACCTGACTGATACACATGATATATAATTATATGCATTTAAGCTGTCTTTTAAAATTTTATTATTGTAATTAAAAACTACAATAACTATTAATTCTGTGATCGTTATCTAGGAAAGTAAATGTGTAAAAAATTACTTAGAGTCTATAATTGAGAACACATTTGTTATATCTTAATTTCACAGATATGCAAATTTTTCATATTAATTATATGTGTTCAACTACGCTAGTAATATATAATCTTTAGATTTTGTTTGCATAGAATAAATGAAATGGTAGTGTAATGAAATAACATTTATTTATTTAGTACGTACACCAACAGTTAGTAACTGTTAGTGCACATATATTTCATGTACTATTAAATTTCAAAACCGTAGTCTAATTGCGTAACTAATTATAGATGATGAATAATCATATCCTCATGTAATAAAAAAAAATTAAACAGTGTTTTAAAAAAGTAACAAAAACAAATTTAAGACCAAAAAAGAAATAACTTAGGAAGATTTTTTTAAGTAGAATGTACAACACGTTTCAGACACTAAATAATAGACCATGCTATGTGCCTGAACCAAGAAAATTAAGAATTTAATAGTGCTTAATGCAGATGAAAAATTATAGCAATTTTTAATTAGATAACTTGAAGTTGAAGTGAAAAAAAAAAACCTTGAGGGCGGCACCCTAAGGCATCGTGCGTAAGGTACTGGCATTGTATCTACCTATCTATATGTACCTTTGGATGGCGAAACTTACTATATAAGTAGCTACCAATCCCTTGGTCACCGCAGGGTTCAACGAGACGAAAAATTTAAATACTAACTCCTTAGTAGTTAACAACCTAGTATTATGAGTCGAGCCCCACAGTTACCGTTACTCAGATATTTTTATTACATGACCAGGTTATAGTTGTGCTTGTTGAACAAATTATTAATATTAATTGTTATTTCCAGGCCTATCCTAAATATGAATTCGACTACGCAGTATCAGACAAAAAAACCGGAGATCATAAGAGACATCAGGAGACCAGAGATGGGGACAGAGTATGGGGAGAATATAGTCTTGTCGAACCTGATGGCTCTCTTCGCAAGGTCGAATACAATGCGGATGATCATAATGGGTAAGTTAAAAGAAGTCTTTAAAATACAATTAGGGTACGAATTCTTACTCGAATAAGTGTTAATATCTAATAAAACTAAAATTCTCTCTTTATGACGGTATTAATCAATGTGTCATAGCTGATATTTCTACAAATTTATTATACTTAATAATGATAATCTAATTTAAAAAAATACATAGCATATACACATAAAAAGTGTCTAGAGATCAGCACGTTTTTGCCAATTACTGAAAATCAGGGTTTATAGTTTTTTTTTAAATCGACGGATTTTTTTGATCAATTTTATAATTTGAATTTGAATATAAATTTAAAAATATTAACAAAGTTGTCTTAAATTTTCATCATATTTTCAGTTTCAACGCTTTAGTCAGCAAAACCGTTAACAAACATGGAGGTCACGCGATATCTATATCAGGCCACACTAGACACTTCTATCCAATAGGTTATGGCGTAAAGATTCACCACTTTACCCCCGAAAAACACCATGCAGAATTTCACAAAGAAGAAAATCAAGAAGATAAAGAAAACAAACCCATGAATGACTCTCATAAAGAAAAAGCAAAAATGGTGCTCATTGACGGAGGAAAAATGATGTTATTAGAATCTGTACCAGTTACGGAACCAATTAAAGTTGATGCAATGAAAACAGAAGAAAATGACGTTAAAAATATGCCGGTAGTTAGCATGATCATGAATGAAGCGCCCGAAATGGAAAATGATAATTCTGTAGCACCAGTGGTTGAAAAAACTGATACAGTTGATAATCTTCAGATAATCGACGAACCTAATAAAGATGCAACAAGCACAGATTCCGAAGTAGCCTCATCGTATTATCGTTCTAAGTACTTTAAATATTACATCGGTTATTGAAGTATCGTTTTTTATTTCGTAAGTTTAGGTGATTATGTGTAAATGTGTACTATAAGTTGAATGTTTTTGAGGTCATCCAGTCTACAATAGATTGTTATGAGTCATAAGTATTGTCTGTATGTTTGTAACTTGTTATTTAGTTTGTATATTAATACCACAAAGTAAAAGTGTAATAAAATCGAAAAATCTATCGACGACTTTGCTGTACCCAACACCACCTCTGCTAACTTTTAGAAAGTATTGTGTACTGCATCTGCGCAAGTTGCCTCGTTAATTTTATGTTGCGGTAGATGGCAGTGCAAAGCTATATAATACTGTGAGCGAGATGAATTGTTACCAACCTATAACAGATGGCGCATTTGTACTTTGTCGCAATGAACACAAATATCAACTTAAAATCGTTAATAAAAGTTACATAGGATTTGTGGGCCACATATGTAAGGGGCACAGTACAATGGAAGGTTAACAACGAATGGTATTCGACGCGAACTTTCATTTAAACTTGAAAATGTTTTTAATCTGTATAGTGAGGACAAAACACAAAAACATAAAATAATAAATACTTGTTATAATCATAAAAGCAGCAATCAATGGTTATTTACACTTGCCGACCGAACTATAAAAATAAAAGTTTTACTTTAGTTTAAGACCTAGAAGGTTAATCTAGTCAAATGACTAATATACCAACAATATTATAGCATTTTAAAATCAGTATTTTAATCAATAAAATCAGTATTTTAATTCGAAAAGTGTTGTGCATTTTTCATGAAATATTGTTTTTATACATTACAAAAGCAAGTAACAAATATCACAATAATTAATTAATTCATTTTCTAGTAACATGATAATTTAAAATCGAGCTTTAATATTAACATACCTACTTATGTAATTATGAAACACAATATCGTTCCATTAGCTTCGCCGCAGACGGTTATAATAACAGTAAGGTTATAATCAAACAGCTTAAAACACTTAGAAACGCACTTGTCTTGTTAGTTGCAATGTCAAAACGATTATGTAAAGGACTCTTAAAAGAATAAAAAATGTCCGAGATCTTGTGCCACTATTTGCAAGACGCTTTTTGAAATACTTACGCACATAAATTTAATAATTGCTTCGCGTGTAATTATGTCTTTCGTATGTAATTATATTTTTCGTTACACATTCTTTTGATACTCATTACATTGTATTCATATTAAACGTGTATTTACTTGATAAAACGTTCAAAGAAAATTAATTATGAAAGACGTAATTTATGTTGAATATTAGGCATAATGGAATGTCATACTGGCTATTTACCAATTTACCAATCTGTCTGTATTTTGTGATCAAATCAAAATCAATCGAAGAAGATAGGTTGACTTTAGGAAATGAAACTATTTTTCCGGCTTTAAATCCGGAAAAATAGTTTCATTTCCTATATGTAACAATCGCGAAAACCTAAGAACTCGATATAAGTTGACTTTATTTGTGACCATAGCGCAATTAGATAAGTAGGCAACTTCGATACCAATAACAGGAGCTCCTATGATAGATTATTCACGATGAATGAACACGTGTTGTCCATAAAAGTTCCACTATTGGGGCTATAAGATAAGACTCCTCTACGGAGAGGATTTAGATCACAGAACACTACACTGTATTAATTAATTTTTTTTATTGAATTGATATTCAATTATTTTTTGTGAAATTACTCCACTAGTTTGTTATAATTATTGTAATTATAACAAACTAGTTAACTACACTGTAATTAAGTTTGTTGGGTACTAAAATATCTTCAAAAATTATCGATAAATTATCATAAGCACGTAATACTAACGCTGAAGGAAGAAAATAAAATACTAATGGCGGAACGGAAGATGTGAACCAATCAAAGGAGAATATGAGATCTGGATGACCAGATTCAATAGGTAGAAAAATAAAAGAGCTAATATCTGTGCGGAACATAATCGGGGAAAAAAAATCCACCCGACTTTTGTGATTAGAACATATGGACAGAATGAGAGAGGATCGAGCTGCCAAAAGAGTGTATTTTTGGCAACGTACGGGTAATTGGCCGTGCAGGTCCGGCCGATGGGTGAAGTCGTCAAAAGCCTGAAGATGCTGTACACATTTACGTTTACATTTTCATTTTTTTTTTTACATTTCAGTTCACATTTCATTTGGACACTTCGTACATAAAAGAAACTACAATCACACAAGGCATCAACAATTAAATTTTCGATTAAGTTATACATAAAAGCTATGAAGTTTAAAACAAAGACTACCAATTTATTGCTTATTGTATTATATAGACGATTAAGCACGCATGCGGGTCATATTATTTACGTGTGAAACTAACGATTTTAATTACAGTTCATTGCCGTGTCGCGCCCTTCATATCAATGCCACTTACTTATTTGTACGGGTGAGTATTAATAACAAACTTGGTAACATTATTGAAACAAAGATCGAACAAACACAAGAAAAATTCCTTCTAAGGCAGTACCTGTTGCCTCAACTTGATTACAGACACAAACCAGCGAAGTACTTTTTTATTTTTTTCACAAAAAAGGGGTACCTCATTGGTAGTCCCATTCAAATTTGAAGAAAATTTTCCACCTTTATGGGCGGCAAACCAGAAGATCAACCCGGTTTATTGAATTTCACCCACATTCCGTTAACCGATTTCAATGAATCTTGGCATATACGTAAGGCGCACTATAAGTTTCTGACCACTTACATAAACAATATTTAAAAAGTAATTACAACATTTGAAAATGGAACTCTTTGGCTGTAGAATAGTTTGTTTCTCACTTTCAATTGTTTTTACATTGTGGCGTTATTTTAGAAATTGGTTGTCTACATCACCATGGATTTAGCTCGTGAAAATTTTCGTAGTATGATTTTCTACGACTTTAAGTGTAATGTAACAGCTCAGCGGAGCTTCGCTCGGCTTGAAACTGCTTTTGGCGATGAAGCACCGTGCAAGACGACTATTTATAGCTGGTTTGCAGAATACAAACGCGGTCGTGTGAATCTCATTGACGAATTTCGTGATGGTCGCCCGTCCACTGCTGTGAACAACAAAAACATCGATCCTATGCGCCGTATGATCAAAACAGAGAGGCATGTGATATATACCATGAGATTCGGTATCTTTAGGCATAGGCATGAGTCAAATACAATCAATATTACACAAACATTTGGGTGTGAAAAAGCTATGCTCTCGCTGGAACCCACACAATTTGACTGAAGCTCAAGAAACGGATCGCGTCACTTGGTGCAATGCCATGCTTACCAGATTCAAAGAAGGGGCGTCGAATTTGGTGTGGGACATATGAACAGGTAATGAAACATGGATTTACAGTTACGATCCCAAAACAAAGCAGCAACCGAGCGTATGGGTCTTTCGAGATGAGCCGAAACCAACCAAAGTGGCGTGCGTGCAAAGTGCTTCTTTTTAAAATAAAACTGGACACGTGGCTACTGTTGCTTTAGAGAATCATTATGCCGTGAATAGTGATTGGACCATGACCATTTGTTTGCCGGAAGTTATTGACAAACTCCGTAAAAACAACCGTAAACGCCGTATCATCTTGCACCACGATAATGCCAGTTCTCACTCGGCCAGACAGACAAATGAATTTTTGAAGGTGAACAACGTTGACCGTATGAGCCATTCCGCGTACAGTTCCGACCTGGCACCTTGTGACTTTTATTTAGTTCCAGAAATTAAGAATCTGTTACGCGGTCAACGATTTTCGTCACCTGAAGAGGCTGTCGAAAAGTATGAAAAATATGTTTCAGAGATTGTCACGGAGGAGTGGCATAAATATATTCATAATTGGTTCATTCGTATGAAAAAGTGCATTAACGCTAACGGAAAATATTTTGAAAAACAATAAATTCATTTCTGACCATTTATAGTATTTTTTTCTTATTAATTCCGGAAACTTATAGTGCGCCACACGTAAAAGTAATTCCAATGAAAATAAAACGCAACGAAAACAGATAAGCAAACTTTTGAGGTCTGTGCGTTACGCCGCTACCGTATGAACTTGACCGGCGCGGCGTAAAATCGGCGTCATGAAAATTTGAAGTAATTAACATCTTTAGTATTATAATGCGTTCAGTAGTAGTAGAGCTCTTTGCGAAAAAGTTCGTCCGGGGAAGTACTGCCACCTTACCTTTCTGCCACCATGCAGTGTTTCGGTTTTGAAAGGTAAGAATTGCTGTCAAATGGAACTTTTATATTTTAAAAAAACAACAGCACGGTGACAGGACAAACAAGTCGCGCGCCCGATATGGTAAGCCACACGCCTGTCCATGATAGTTGCAGTGCCACTCAGAGTTTTAAATCGCAAAGATCTGAGGGGTACTGCCACTGCGCCCGTCACCCTGAGACATAAGTTGACAAGTCCCATGTGCCTGTAGTTTCACCAGCACCCTTACCCTTCAAAACCGGAACACAGTAATGCTGACAATACTGCTTAATAGCAGAAATAGGTATAGTGATAAGTACTACCCTGGACGTACCCTTTCACAAGTCACGTCGATTTCCCGCCGCTGGGAATTTCATAATCAGCGCACATCTCTAATCACAACATTTTATTCAACGTCGTGACCGCGGTTTAGCATCGATTGTCCGGGGCTTTTAGACTTAAACACTTTCCACTCTAAAAACAAAACATAACATAAGTAACATATTCTCCTTTACCGAAATAAAGTAATTATAGCATAAATGTGGGACTTAAGTGGAAACACTTAAAGTTCCAATCGAAGTTCTGTTTTCATTTAGAAGCTTTTGAGTATTCGTATCGTGTCCAATCATTAATATTCCATATTGAAATATTTTATATTAAATATTATACCTATTAGCAGGATTTCATTGCAATAATATAAGATGTATATAAAACTATAAAAAGTTAATATAAATTTATTTATCTCCAAAAAGTTCAGTTGTTATTTTGTACAAAAACATTTTTTTATGAGGCTGGAGCTAGGATACAAAACAATTTAGTCTAAACTAGATCGAAAGAGCTGTGTCTCGACTTTCGAGGCCCCCGAACTCGATTAGATGTATGTAAATTTTTTAGATCATATTAAAAATGTAACAAAGAACAATGTTTATTTATATATTTTTATTGTTTCACTTTTTGGATAGGCCAATTACAATTATTCAGTAAAATAATTGTTGACAGTGGTAGTATTTGTTAATTAATTACAAAATGCCAAGAATAAAAACAAAAATAAAAACAAACAAAAATAAATAAACCTGTCTCCGTCATGGGAAAAATAAGACGAGGAAGAAATTAAAGAAAAAACATTAAAATGAAATGAATAGTTACATCTACATATAATTAATACGCATATAAATATTAATAATTTAGTTGGAAATATATTACATGAATGTATACATACATATAATATTTTAACCATAGATATTAAATATAGGTATTGTTTAACCAATGTGACGATTTTAAGTGTAATAATGCTTACTTTGAAATAAAGATTATTTTGATTTTCATATATAACCAATACTCTTTTGTTTTAAATGTACTATAAAATGTTTTAAAAAGCCCTGCATACTACTATTTTGTTAAACTACGAACACTGAATATATTCTACATAAGTGATCAAATGTTATCCGATGTACCAATGACTAATCGTCTATAGTTTATACTCCACAAACTCATTGTACGGCAAACCTTAAGTTGTTGCTACGGAATTCTAATGTAAGAGAGTGTACGTTAATTGCATCACCGTATTCTACCGAAGCATTGAAACTATAAATACCAATGGTAATAATAAATTAGAGCATGGACTAACTTAGTATTAGGTACCTTAAAAAATGACATTTATATATTACAAAATTAATTGCATAACAATGCTTCTGAAGTACACTCGCAAAGAGTAACAATAAACCAGAATCAGAAAAATGTCTTAATAAAAACAAAGATCTGCAACAAACACATAGAAAAATTTGTAAGGTCTGCTGGTTTGTTACTTTGTTTCTAAGGTCAGTTGGGAAAGCGTCCGGCATGAAATGAAGAAAAACCAGATGGAAAGACTTATTCTCAGTGTTCGATCTTTGTGTTAATAATTATAACAAACCAGTGCAGTGGAATGATTTCACAAAATAATGAAATATCATGGTAGTTATTGTAATAATAAATTGTACAGATGGCATTTCTTTATATTTATTCTCAAAACTAAGTAACGTTTTAGCACTGACTTTCTTACCTTGAAATATTAAAAGTGCAAACTCGGCTTCTTTGCGATGACAATAAACCAAACCGAGTTTCTAAATTATATTCTATATTTACGTACAAACAACATAACATAAAACTGGCAATTCTTGACACTCTTCTAATTTGTTTTTAATAATTCTCTAAGCAAACGTACGAACGAACGCAAACAGCTTACAATTAAATACGGAAAATAAAAATAATCCCACATATATGTTAATGTGTATAATAATAAACGCCTGAACAAAAGCAATAAACCTTGACAATAATGTAATAGCTGCTATCTGTTTGCCTTTTCGAATATTATTGCAATCACAGAAATAGCGGGTTTATTTGGTACTATCTATGGATTAGCGTTGAGAATCAAACTAAGCGTCCGAATAGCGCAGTTACGAGTGCGACATTTCTTTGTATGAGATTAGGTATCTGTACTTGTTTAGTATTAGATTAACTGTGATTTAGGTAAATTATTACGCTGTTAAAAGGAATTCTAATAGTCGAATTTCGAGAGTGTAAGCAAATTGCGTCACAGTGTTCTCCAGAAGCACCTGGCGAGCAGTAGCAGTAAATCAGAGCGTTGACAAACGGGCCCTCTGGTTACGCAGCCCTGTACGCTTCCGCGTTTGCGTTTTGTCACTGAATATGTAGGTCGTACTAGAGAATAGCGATTTCTAGCTTTACACGTAACTTTATTACCATTTTTAAACTCAGACGCATTTTTTTCATAAGTAAGGAAATTACTTAATCGGAAGGAAAGAGGCTAAATGCCAATCACAATACTTAAAATAGATTTTCGAATATTAGTTATTTAATACGACCAGTCTACGATTAAATAAAATCGATAACCACTTCTATACCAATACAAAATTTCATACTTATCAGCAGTTGTTTCCTGACAACTCACAAAGAAATAGACCGCAACGTGTGTAGTACACAATTTGTGATTTATTAGTTAGATATAATACTTAATTAATTTTTATGACAGCCATATGCTTCGATTGTATCGCGTTTATCCCCGTTTGTTATCATAATGCAACAAATTAAAAGTAAAAAATTAAAAACGAATTGACATATACTTACTTGCCTTAATTTTAAGTGAAAAAGAAACTCAAGATATAAATAGTGTGAAAGATGATATGAAGGGAATCAACGACGAGCTAACGGTAGACAAACATAACTGAAAGAAAAAGATATACTGAGCCAACCCCGTATTACGGTATAAAAGCTGAAGGATAATAGACAGAGTAAGTAACAACAGAAAAAGGTAGAGCCTTCCATATAATTAATTAAGTTACGTAAGCAAATTTTGAAACAAAATTAATATATCAGTGCAAACTTACTTTGTTACCGCGATGATATGCAAGGCAAGGCAGAGAGTACATATACTGCAGATAGCGATAATATTAATAACCATATTGAAGCAACGAAATTAATTTAAATTTGCAAAACGAATGTTGCATACAAAAAGGTATGTCCAATTGACGTCACATATTTTGTACCACAAATAGGCTTTGTATCTATTTTACTATTATATATTTCTATCTATACATACATGTGACGGAAGAGTTAAACGCAGGGTACCCAAATGTTGTCAGCGGTACTTCCCGTGTATTGAATTTCATTACCAACTGTAACATATAATAAATGAAGTCCACCTATAGTTTTCTGACTGAACTGGGTTTAGGTCACTACTACATATACTAGTTCAATACGGTTTGAAGAAGTTTATTAAGCTCTCCACAATAAAACAAACGTACCTTTTGGATATAATATTGTATTATGGTGTGCTGCCACCTTTGCTACTTAATTATGAAAGACATGTACGGGGATAATATTGTGTTTTTGTACAAAGAAACATGCAAATAATGTTTTATAGATAATATAATAAGGCATATTCTATATGCACTAAAATAGTTCACTTTTAATTCCTAATAAATTCGTACCCTAAGTATACTAAAACTACATGCGATCATACGTCAAAATTTTTTTATAACATGATAGTCATCACGATACGAACTACATAAAACAAATTATATATACGTGAAATTTTATAACTCTCCGATTTAAGCATAAAAAAAGAATCCACTTATTTTGTTCGGAGATTCTTTAAGCCAATCTCCTGAAAAGTTGTCATTTTGGAAATGTGGCCTTATTTGTCAAAGTTGCGAATTATATAAGTGACTTTATTGCCCACCATCCGTTGGCAGTTGGCGGTCAGACTTTTAGAAGTGCTTTAATAAAATTAATCTTTGATTTTAGAACAAATTAATCGGCAAAATGTAACTGGCACACGACAAGGAAACGCACTTTCGCTGCAAACATTTATACTTGCGAATAAATGTTTACAGCCAGTTACCAAATACTCCCGTAACGTAGTCTCAAATCCAAGAACACCACTTTGTGCGCTATACATCTTTTTTATAGCATGAAACGTCGCATTATAGGCGATTATTTTTAATCTACAAGGATCATCTTTAAAATAATTTCAAAAAGTAAAACAATATAAGCCTCTCACTTAGTGTTCATTTTCTCTACATACAACCATATCGATAGTTGCGACACCCGATAAAGTGAGTAGATTGCCAATGCAGCAATTACTGTGATCCGTTCGGATATTGTCTGGAATAGACCCCCTCCACGCCATTGCTTATGTTTTGTTTGTTATATAAAAAGAGTGCTGTATCAAAGCTATACCAGTCGTCAAGGCACTTGTCCGCAAAGTAAAATGTTCTCCAAAGTAAGCGCGCCTTTCAAACGCGTCCATATGAATATTAAAACTAAAAAAACATTTCCAACAATACAAAAAGTTACAAAAATATTTGTTGAGCCTTTTTAGTTGTTTGTTGAAACGTGTTTGTTTGTTCATCAGATCGTGTTAGCTTGTGCGCTGGTGGCGGTGTGCCATGCTGGTGTACCACACTATGCACCGGCAGTCTCCTCCCAGAACATCATTCGTCATGACCAGCCTGTCCACCACCAGGTGGCTCCGGTCCACTACGCCCCTATCGCCCACGCCGCCCCCGCTTACCACGCCGCCCCCGCTTACCACGCCGCCCCAGCCGTCCACGCCGCTCCAGCTCACCATGAAGATCATTACGTTGACGAATACGTACGTCTTTGAATACTTATGTGTGTGTTACTTACCTTGTATATTGATAAAAATAATTGATATACGTATACAGGTGTCTATGAAAGCACAATGATTCGAGAGCTTTAGTCTGTAGTCAAAAACAAACAATGTGTGTTGTTCGGTCTTAAAAATATGACAAAACTAAGGGAATTATTATTTTTGTCATATAATTTGGAATTTCTCAGGGTTCCTTGTGAATTGAAGTACATGGAAATACAAACACTTTTTTATGCGTCTTTAACAAAAGTGTTTGACAAAGTGGCATCGACGACATATCTTGTATATTCATATTTATAAAGATTGCTTGTCAAAGCATTGCAAAGTGTTATGTGTATTATGAAATTTAGCACCCTTGTAATATATAGGTAGTTATATGGTGTAATAAAGCCACATCTACTAAATTACATTTTTTTAAGATTTATCGAATGAAATTAGTCGATAACTTTTTATCCTTGAAGAGTTATACAATGTACATATACATAATTTGTTTCATGTAGTTCGTATTATTTTTATGGCCTTTACTTGATTTTTTTGTACCAAAAGTACGATTTATTCTTATAATATTTTCAAGTTTTCCTCTTAGCGGATGTCTTTTTGCAAAGCCGTAATTAACACCTTGTATTATAAATGTAATAATTACAGGCTCACCCTAAATACGGCTACTCTTACTCCGTGGAGGACCCCCACACTGGTGACCATAAGTCCCAGCACGAGGAACGTGACGGCGACGTCGTGAAGGGAGAATACTCGCTTCTGCAGCCTGACGGCTCCTTTCGCAAAGTCACATACACAGCTGATCACCACAATGGGTAAGTATTCTCTGTAGCTATATTACATCACTCTTAATATAGACATATAATATAGACTTTTTTATTTTTAATAAACCAAGTGACGGAACGACTGGTGGTAAGCGATACTGTCCATATCTGTTGCAGTGCCACTCAGAGCTTTAAATCGCAAAGATCTAAGTTGCACTGGCACTGTGCTAGTCATCTTGAGACATTAATTGACAGGTCCCACGTGCATGTAATTTCACCGAAAAGTAATAACAGTTTACGGAAGCAGAGATTTGGTTTGCAGAGATTGATACTATAGTACACATTCGAAAGGAATTCAAAGCAAAATCCGAATAGTTTTAAATATAGTTTTTTGCTTTGTAAGTATGTGAGTATGTGGGCTCTGGGAAGACCAATTTGTGAATTTAATTTTTCTAAATTGGTTGTAATCTGGGGTTTTTGGGTAATGCCCCGGAGTGAAACGGTTGCTCTGGTACTGGTACTGGTAATTTGAGATCAGGGAATTGATGTGGTTGACAGGCACATTATTATTTAAAAATATATATTTTGTTGCTCAACATTTTTCGACTATTTCACGGAATGGTTATGGCTAGTTACAAGTGTCTTGCTACAATACGACTTCTTATTCTTTTCCCGATATTTCGGAAGATTATTCGGATATTTGTTGAACAAATGTACTTTAACAGCGTAGAACTTTCAAGAATATCATATTTTGTTCAAGAGAATCACGAACAAAAATACATTGAACCTATCATTCATAAGCCCAAAAAATAACCCGTATTTTGTGTTATATGTACCAGTATTTAGTGCTGGTGAAATAACAGGCACATGGGACTTGTCAACTTATGTCTCAAGGTGCCAGGCGCAGAAGTAGTGCCCCTATGCGATTTAAAGCTCTGAGTAGCACTGCAACTGTTATGAACAGGGGTAACGCTTGACAGCAGGCGCATGACTTGTTCGTCGCGTCACTTGGTATTATAAAAAAAAGACTGGCTCGAAACGTGTCGAGCAAAAATTGGACTTAATTACGTGAGTTATCTGGAAGTTCAGTGAACACATTATTATTAGTATATTATTACGTGTATTAAACCACAAAATAAATTATATTACTATATTACCACGTGCACTAAACCACAAAATGAATTATACATGTAACTTTTAATAACTTCTTTCCCAAAACACTCAACTCGTTTGTTACGGCATATTACACTCTACAATAAATAACCAATATTATACGTTATTATCCTTAGCCAACCATGTTTACGAAGAAATGATTTTACAGTAAAACGATATAGAGTTGTATTACAAGATATTATCTAACTCGTTGTAATCTAATTCGCAGTTTCAACGCCGTGGTGCACAACTCCCCGCCTGTGATCCATCATCATTAGGAATCATGTCTAGATAGAATCTGTGATATTATTAGTATAGTGCTATATTTCTATTTCGTTTCTAGCTTAACCGTTTATTTAGTGCTATGTTTGTAAAACCTTGCGAGTGTAATATAATAAAATCATAACCTTACTTTTGGCATCAGTGTAGGCGGGTTTAAAAGCCCATCGATGTGTCTATATAACGGTGCATATACGGTTTGGGAGACAGTTAGTGCATATATTTAAGTATACAAATAAATACGAATAGAAACAGACTATCGCTTCTGTATAAATTAGATTTTATACTCTTTGTAAATAAATTTTACTGTCAAATCAACTTTTTCTAGGTAAGCTTTTTTGTAATTTCTTTTCACTATGTACCTGCCTTAGTAGTAGTCTATTGATACTCATACCTTAAACCCGGCGACGATTGTTTATAAGCCTCAACTCAATAAAGTGTTCGAATAAAATGAATATTGATTTTATTAATTCTTTCCTATTTAATATGTATTACATGTATTACTACAAATACCCTCCCGGAAACATAATTCCTCCTTGCATTTTTTATCTTAAAGGGCAAGAATACAAAAATAGTGTTACAGTAAAAAGGTTTCCCCGATTTCACAATTTCAAATTTTCAACAAGGTCCTTTTACGTAATAGTTTTTGAGCAATCACACTTTGGTTAAACTTAAGGCGTTTATAATACTGAAAATACAATGAACAAGTTATTCGCCTGGTGTTAAGTGACGCGCCTGTACATAGCAGTTACTTAGAGCTTTAAATCCCAAAGATCTGAGGGACACAATTGACATTTCCATTTTCGTTCATTAATAGTATTTTTACCAAATTTTCATGTCTTGGATACATGTGTGATTCAAAAGTCAAAACATCGATGTTCTTCTTAGTTTTATGTTGTAATAATGTTTGGAATGTTTTTCGTTCGTTATTTTTTGTTAACTTCATCTAAAATAATTTATGTGCAGCATATTAGTGTTTTAAAATTGTAACTATACAGTTGTAACAGTTGGCTGGCGGGTTGTGCGCAGTAAAAGTTGCATTAATTTTAGTGTGATAAAGTTTGGATTATTATTTTTATCATATTTAACCTATTTTATTTATAATTATTATATTATTTATTTATATTTTAAAAACTATTACATATATCATATAGGATGTCAGACTCAGAGGATTATCACTCGTGTATAAGCTCTGACTCATTTATCTCATTAGATGCATCGGAGATGGAGGTTGAGGCTTTGGGTGTCGAGCTCTCCAATATCTTTGGTACCTCATCTCAACATTTTAACATTTGTCATATAAATGCGCAAAGCATTCCACGTCACTACACTGAACTGCTTGACACTTTTTCGTCGAGTTCTTTGCATGCGGTGCTGGTTACTGAAAGTTGGTTTAAGCCATGCCACAATTCAACTACTTATGCTTTACCAGGGTATATCCTGGTTCGCAATGATCGCCCTTTGGTAAATGGTGGTGGTGTAGCCATCTATATCAGCAGTTCTGTTCCGTTTAAGACTATTTCAGCATCGGAGTATGTAAATGTAAACGACATTGAATATATTTTCTTGGAGATTGTGGTTTCTGGGGTTAAAGCGATTCTTGGAGTTGTGTATTGTCCGCGTCCTGTTAATTCTGTCACTCTTACTTCTCTCACTTCTGTCTTGGACCCGCTCGCAACGGATTACTCTCATCTTGTAATAATGGGTGATTTAAACACCGACCTCCTTCAGGATTCTCTAGCGTCCCGTAATTTACGATCAACTATCGAGTCTTTCTCTTTGTCTATACTTGAGTTTAATGCGACTCACCACAATATTCATACCGAGGACACGTGGATTGATCAGGCTATTGTCTCCTCTCCAAATCGTGTTGTAAAACATGGTCAAGTCCCGGCTCCGGGCTTCTCTCATCATGACTTGCTCTATGTTGTGTACAAAATTAAGCCTCACAAACGTTCTTCCGAAATTAAAAAGCTGAGAAATTTTGCGGGGCTGGAATTAAATAAACTTGCTCATGATGCGTCTACTATTGATTGGTCCGGGGTATTGGCAACTTCTACGGTGGATGGGAAGGTGGCAAACTTTGGAGCCACTTTATTGAGCTTGTATGACAAGCACGCACCAATACGGTTAGTGAAATTGAAAAGACCCCCTGCACCCTGGATCACTCCTCTAGTGCGTATTGCAATGAGGAGGCGTGACGGAGCTTTTCGTAAGTTTAAACGGTGTAGGTCGGAGGAAAATTGGACTGCCTTCAAATTATGTAGGAATCGCTGTAATCAGATGGTGAGAGCCGCAAAACGCCGCAACTTTCATGACAATCTTGTACAGTCTTCTCCTGCTGCAACTTGGAAATTTTTGAAGTCTGTGGGTCTGCTTAAGCCTCAGAATGACGCTATTCCTCATTCTTTCACTCTCGATGACATCAATCATCACTTCTCAGCGGCCGCCAGCACTCAGTGTATTGGCAAGGTCAATGCTCTCAATGACATTCCTCTCTTGTGTAGTCAACCTTCTCAAGCTTTCTCTTTTTCTTCGGTTTCAGAGTCAGAGATTCGCAAAATAATAATGTCTTTAAAATCAAATGCCGTTGGTTGTGATGACATTAGTCGTCAAATGATAGTCTGCTGTTTAGACAGTGTACTGCCGATTATCACACATATTATTAATTGTTCCCTTTCCTCTGGTACTTTCCCTAGCAGCTGGCGCAGGGCGTATGTGCTGCCTCTTCCTAAAATAAATAATCCGTCTGTTCTTAAACACTTTAGGCCAATCTCAATACTACCTTTCCTTTCTAAAATTCTAGAAGCAGTTGTTCATCGCCAATTATCATCCTTCCTTTTTAGACACAATGTCCTTGGCCAGTACCAATCAGGTTTCCGGCCGGGCCACAGTACCACAACGGCATTATTGAAAGTTACGGAAGACATTCGTGAGGGCATGGAGGCTTCGCGGTTGACAGCATTAGTTCTCATTGACTTCTCTAACGCCTTTAATGCTGTTGACCATGATATACTCCTAGCCATCCTAGCTTTTTTGCGAGTCTCTGCCTTGGAACTGGAATGGTTCTCTTCATACCATAAGGGGCGCAAGCAAGCTGTTCGTGCCAAAGACGTCTTGTCTAATTGGTGCGATCTAGAGGCAGGCGTGCCCCAAGGCGGAATTCTTTCTCCCCTATTATTTTCAATTTTTATAAATTTAATCTCTCCTATTCTCCGCAGCTCTCATCATTTGTATGCTGACGATCTACAGATTTATGCGCAAGCAAAATTTGACTCCTTGGATGATGCGATATGTAACCTCAATGATGATTTGCGACGTATTGCTGACTGGTCGAGTAAGTTTGGCATCAGTGTCAATCCAAGCAAGTGTCAAGGCATGATCGTGGGTAGTCCCTATGCTTTGTCTAGGTTGGACATAAGCTCCGTTGCGCCTCTTTCTTGTGATGGCACATCCATTGTTTTCGTGCCTCATGTAGTGAATCTGGGACTACACATTGATTCTACTTTTTGCTGGCGACCTCAGATTGACTGCATTAGTCGGAAGATTATTGGTATTTTGAGGTCATTCTATCAGTTCAAACACTTTCTTCCCATTACAACAAAGATTCTGCTAATTCAGGCAACCATTTTCCCTATCTTCGATTATGCTGATGTGTGTTATGCTGATATCACTCAAGAACTTCTCAACAAATTGGAGCGGTTGCTCAATAGTTGTATCCGGTTCATTTACTGTCTTCGCAAGTATGATCATGTGTCCGCATATCGTGACAAGTTGAAATGGCTCACGATTCGTCAGCGCCGGAATCTGAGAATCCTCTCCACGCTTTATTCCGTACTCAAAGACCCATGTGCACCAGAGTATTTGAAATGTAAGTTTCAATACTTTGGTGTGCACAATGCCCGTGATCAGCGTTCACATAATAAATTTATTTTATCTGTTCCTCCTCACCGTACTGGTTTTGTCTCTAACTCGTTTACTCTTCAGGCAATACGACTCTGGAACGCTCTCCCACCCCATATTCAAAGTGCGCCAAATAAACTCGCATTTAAGCAGTTAGTCCGCAATCTAATGCTAGATTCTCCACCTGCATCACAATAGTCTCATTTGGATATATGTTTATTATATATATTATTATAATATAATTTATTGTTATGTATATATATTTATTATTATGTATGTATAAAATTAATTTTTATTGTTTATGTATGATCATATTTATGTACATAATATATACATTAACCAAATTGTTTGTTTATTAACTTTATTCCTCTTTTTTTTTCCCTTTCTTTTTTTTTCTCTTTCGTTTTTGTTTGTTTGTTGTCAAGTTTTGCAACGCCTGTTAATTGTTCTGTACTCAGCTCTCTGGTTAACTGGTAGAGAATGCCTAATGGCATTAAGTTCGCCATTTGTACTTTTTTGTATGCAATAAAGTTTAAAAAAAAAAAATGCGCCGGTCACCCTAAGACAACACAAGTTAACAAGTCCCAAATGCCTACTTCATTTCTCCACCACCTTTACTGCTCGAAACCCGAACGCAATAATGCTCACATTATCAAAGTAAGAGTGAATAGGCCTTATTTAAGTGTGCATGCTCCATCGTCGACCTCATCGTCATTTTTCATGAGGTGAGATGGAGGTCAAATTGCAATGCGCACTTGATTTTTTCATTTAAAAAAGTACTGCTTGGTAGAAGTATTTCCCTGGACGAAGTACTTACTAGGTAGTCGGCAAATATTCATTATTGCTAATTTCAAGATTGGCACTACAAGAATATTTTTATTTTCCCGATATTTGGGAAGATGACTAAAGTGAACTCGTGAATCCTGTGATTATGGAACGTATCACTGTAACGAAATATCCGGAAAAATTGTACCTTGAATAAGTTTTAAAATTTACAGTTTGGAAATTAAATTGTATTGTGAACGTTTGAGCAATAAAATATGTTAAATGAACAAATTTGCTATAATAGCTTGGAACTTTCGAGAATGTCATACTTTGTTGAGGAGAACCTGTTCTTCGTAAGCTCAAGAAATTACCAGTACTGTGTATTAGAGTGCATTAAAGATATTCGGATAGAAGATTGGCTTACCTTTAAATTCTTAGTAGTCATCGGCGTAAAAGAATCTTTGCTTTGTAATATAATTTTTTTTATCAGAAAGAGACTTAATGTACCTTATTCGATCTTATCAAAATGAATGAATGGATTCACTAACCACCTACTGCACTTCTGCAATAAAATTCATCACATGACCTGAAAATATTATAACAAAACAAAGCAAATGATCAAAATTATAATGACTCATATTTAGGACAGTCTCACCGTCAGCTACAATCGTTCAAGGACCCCCAAACAATGGGACTTGGCGTTCGCAAATCCACATGCATTCTCACTACTTTAAGTTTGCAGGTGGATAAATGCCGAGATTGGAGAATGCTCGGATAAACGGTAACGAATAGAGTACTGTGAATAGATTCTGAGCTTAAAAATAGAAGGCCTAAACATTATAAAACGATTTTTTTTTTGATGTTGCAATATTTATAAAAAAAACTTCGATTCGTCTGTTTGCCAGACCGGGGCTAACCGCTCTCCCAACTAAGCTACGGAACGAATCAGGAAACCTCACGAATTTTTGTATGTGCTTGTTGCTGATCTTTGCTTTAGATTTTTTAATATTGTTATTTCTAAACTTAGCAACTAGATTTTAAAACCTGAATTTCCCTCTTTCCTTCTGGCGACTCGAAAAGCCCAAACACTCTTTACACAGCTCTTTGTACAGCGCACTCTTTCTCCATGAAGCCGATAGATTTCATAAGTGGCGTCATAATAAAATCCCTGAAAACAACGAATTTCTCAATTATGCGTGAGGACTTTCTCCATTCAATATCACCATCTCAAAATTCGTTGGATTCATTTTTAACGATGAAATACAGAATATGTAACATATAGCATTATTTTATTTCAATATGACTTTGTCTGAGTCCACTAAATAATGGCACGATACAAAAGGACAGTGTCATTTCAACTGCACATTGAAGTTTGCTGCAAACCTGCTAATTACACTCTCTAGAGTATTGGAGCGTGAGAACAGAGCCTTCGTTCTAGTGGACACTCGTATTGTGATGTTGAAATTTAATAAGAACACATTTTTAAAGCTATTAACACTAGTTCGTCGTGCTGTAAAAACACCGAGCATTTGCATGTGTGTAATACAAGCAAAAGTGTTTATTGTGAAATTTAGGGGCGTTAACCCTTGCACCAAATTATTGTGTATCTATTTCGTATTCTAAGAACACATGTAGCCCAAAGCCAACCATAACCTTGTACATTACAATATCAATACCTGCTTATTGACACAATGCAATAACATTACTGTTTCCCACTAGGTCTTTTATGAATAGCTATTTCTTTAAAATCACCATTACCACATATTAAATAGAAGAGATGAGACATGTCTTTTTTTATAAAGGTTATTTTAATAGCAGTAGCGCTCCTTCTGAAATTGTTCGTCCATAGAAGTAATGCAATCTTATCTATTTCTGCTGTAAAGCAGTAATGTGAGCGTTACTGCGTTCCAGTTTTGAAGGGTAAGATTGCTGGCCAAATTACAGGCGTATAGGACTTTTTAACTCATGTCTTAGAAAGACGGGCGCGAAGGGTGCCAGAGTGATCTTTGCGATTTAAACCTTTGAACGGCACGAGTTACTATCAGGCGAACGAGATGTTCGTCGCGTACTTGGTATCAAAAAAAAATTGCTGCTGTCGGCCTTGACCACCGAAGAAAAGGGCGAGATGAAGTCTCTTAGCCCATATAAAATATAAGTAGAGGGTTTAAGGTGAGCACGAACTTAGATTCAGGACGCTACTGGACACTTCCACCTGAACACGAACGTCACGTCCTATAGGAAAGAATAAGAGATATATCTGCTCATCTTCTGTACCTATATCCTTTATTCATTACTTTGCGATAATCATTTTTTTATGTTTCTAAGAGACAGGATAAACAAATGGCATGTGCTTACAATAAATGGTAGTAAGCGACACGCCTGTCCATAGCAGATGCAGTGCCACTCAGAGCTTTAAATCGCAACAATCTGAGCGGCACTGCCACTGCGCTCGTCGTCCTAAGACATAAGTTGACACGTCTTACGTGCTTGTAATTTTACCAGCATCATTACTCTTCAAAACCGGAACGCAGTAGTCCTCACATTACTGCTTGGCGGCAGAAATATTTAAGGTGGCAGTGCTTTCCTGGACGAACTATTTCAAAAAGAGCTCTACGAGGATTCGATTTTCACGGGAACAAACCGGCGATCTGACTTTTAACTAAAAACTTACATAGCAAAACATGAACAAAGTAAATGTGAAGGACAATTTAACTTTTAAATTCACCAACAATGTACCGAAACAAATTGTTATACAATTAGCCAAAACAAACTTTTTATAAGAAACACTTTAGTACCGTTATTATCGGCAATTTCGCACTAGAGGTCAGTATACATTACAGTAAGGTTATATATACAATTTGATCGGTACGAACTCGAAAAGTTTTTATTTTAAATATATATATACTACATGCACGTATAGTACATGCCTATACTGCTGAGCATACGCCTGACCAAAAAAGAAGACGGTTTTGGCTAATATCATAAAGATGAAACGTACGGGTACATTGAAAGAAATGAAGAAATATACATTCGTTACAACAAACATCCTAGACATAACACGACATAAACAAGAATTGATACATTGATGATTGATGAATTTATGTGCGGAAAAGTAAGAAAATTGACCTGGATTTTTAGGAAATTGAGACATGTAGCTGGTAAAAAACTGATTAAACAAATATACATATCCCTGGCACAGTCGATAATGGGTTATTGTATTTCAATCTGGGGAGGTGCAACAAAATCAAAATTTTTGGAAATCGAAAGAAGTCAGCGCTGTTTACTTAAAGTAATACATTTCAAACCTTTTAGATTCCCTACGGAGGAACTATATAATCTCAGTCAGGTCTTGACAGTAAGAAAACTGTATATCTTGTCAACAATTTTAAGATTGCACAAGTCTCTACCATTTTTCTCTGATGCAATGACAAGAAGGCGAAAAGACACAGTTGCTAATGTACAGGAAATTAGAACTACTTTTGCACAAAGACAGTACACTTCGCAATCAGCATTTATATATAACAAATTAAATAAACAATTAAATATCTTCGAATTAACTTCACGGAAATGTAAAGAAAATTTAGTAAAATGGCTCGAAACAATCAATTATAATGACACAGAAGCTCTTCTGCAGCATATTTATTAGCTTATAGGCGACACGATTTATATATAAAAGCACGTTAGAACAATTAATAATTATTTCCATACACAGTTATCATACACTACAGCCGCACGCGCGCACACACACACACACACACACCACACTTTCCCAAAACACACACACATACATTTAGGTTAAGGTAGGTAAATGCCAACTATTCTTAAGTTTTCTTGATTTTTGTTTGTGTACATAGTCTATAGCATAAGTATGCATGAGTTAAGGAAGAGCGGGACCTCCTGACACAGGTATTTATTTACTTAATAGGATGGTCCCTACCTTTGTTTGTATTAATGCCGACTGTACAATGAATAAACATTTTTGAATTTTGAATTTTTGAATTTTGAATTTGATGATATATAAGTAACAGAACGGAACTTGACAACACGAATAAGAAACAAAGTATATATATTTTTACTATCACTAATAATTTTTTTAATAATATTAAGTGACGGAATGAACAATTCGTGCACCTGGTGGTAAGTGACACACCCGTCCATAATGCAAAGTCACTCAGAGTTAAAATCGCAAAGATTTGAGAGACACTGCTACTGTGCTCGTCACCCAGAGATTTAAGTTGACAAGTCCCATGTGCCTGTAATTTCACCAACACCTCAAAATCAGAACACAGTATTGCTCACATTACGGCTTGGCGGCAGAGATAGGAAAGGTGGCAGTATTTCCCTGAACTACCCTTCCACAGGGAGCTCTACTGCTTCTAAAAAAATCTAATA